TACTTCGGAGCGTGCGCGCACCGACTGGATTCGGTAGAGGGCGTTCCTAGCTAACGAATGAGCGGCTGGTCAGTTGTCTCCAAGCACTTGGAGAGTCAGGACAGGCATTTTCGCGCGACGTGTTTCTGTGACTGGTGCAAGCCGAAAATGCAGCGTTCGTTAGAGCAGAGGTACGCGATTAAATTCTGTGTGAAACACGGTAAATCTGCGACAGAGACGCTTGATATGATCAAGCAGGCTTACCCAGGTGTTGCTTTAGCAAGAAGTGGTGTGTTTCGGTGGCATCAGGCCTTTTTGGAGGTCCGGGAAGAGGTCGCTGATGAAGGCCGTGCTGGAAGACCTTTGACTTCGACAAACACCGATAATGTGACTCGTGTGCGCAAAGTTTTGAACTCAGACCGTCGACTAAGTATTCGTCTAATAGCCCAGATGTTAAATTTACCAAAATCTGTGGTTCATGACATTGTGACACAGCATTTGAATATGCACAAGGTGTGCGCGAAGATGGTCCCAAAAGTGCTCACTGACGACCAGAAATTGCGGCGAGTGGAAGTGTGCCAAGAAAATTTGAACATGTGTGAAAGTGACCCCCAATTTTTGAATAACATAATCACAGGTGACGAGTCGTGGATCTTTGAGTATGATCCCGAGACAAAGAGGCAATCTTCCGAGTGGCACACGACGGCGTCTCCTCGCCCAAAAAAGGGAAGAATAAGCAAATCCAAAGTGAAAACGATGATCATTGTCTTTTTTGACATCAAAGGCATCGTCCACCATGAATTTGTTCCTCCTGGACAAACTGTCAACGCCAAGTTTTACGTAGAAGTGCTCAGGAGACTCAAACGAAGGGTCAATCGGGTCCGACAAGAGATCGCAGACGACTGGAAGTTGCACCACGACAACGCCCCGGCTCACACCGCCTTTCTTGTGAACAGCTACCTGACCAAGTCCGGCATCCCAACGCTTCCGCAGCCGCCCTACAACCCAGATGTGGCCCTCCCGGACTTTTTTTTGTTTCCTCGCCTGAAAAAGCAAGCATTTTGAGACGACAGAGGGGATCCAAGCAGCATGCACCACGGCTCTCAAGGCTATTCCGGAGAATGCCTTCCGTGACGCCTTCAATGCTTGGAAATCGCGCTGGCAGCGCTGCATCGACGCAGAAGGAGCCTATTTTGAAAGTTTTTACAGAATTGTAACGATTGGCTCAATAATTTTTTTTAAATCGACTCAGTCCTATTACTTTCCGGACAAACCCTGTATAAGAGACACTACTCACACACAGGATTTGAAAAAAGCCACTTATTTTTCAAAAGCCAGATACAATTTTTCAGCAACATGCAGGAATTATAGAATCGGAGAATAATGTTTAGTGCTTAATATATTCCCATACATTTTCTAGATATGTATGATAATATATTCTATATTATATTGTCATCAAATTGAATGTCATTTTCTTTCAGGATACATAATTATATTTAATTTCACACACGCCAACTGGCGAAAAGTTTCAAAAATGAAATATTATGTTTTTTGGGATTACACATAACATGTACATCCCGAAAAACCATTTTTTACGCAGAAGCAGTCGCACAGGCAGAAACCTAAATGCCAGAGCACCGTGGCTGCTATAAGGAGCTCAGAGACAGTTCATTTTCGAACTGCCTAAGGTTAGTAGAACCGGGAAAAGCCTCCTCTTGTACATCGTTCCACTATCTCGACACCCTAGGAAAAAAGGAGCGGTCGTATCGGCAAGTTCTATAAGTACGAAATTCGGCACAGTTAGGCTGGGAGGCCGAAGTCAGGTGGGTCTGTCTGGCAGGCACATCGCGCGGCGGCATCATGTAGCAGAGCTCTGAGGAGCAAAGCCCGTTGGCATAGCGGTAGAAGAGAGCTAGATCACCGACGGTCCGTCGGTAAAAAAGGGTTCCGAGACTGTCCGATAGAGAAGACTCATCGATCAGTCGGACAGTCTTCCTTTGAACAGCGCCGAGGATGAATAATATAATCGGAGCGGCAGCAACCCAAACATGTGTGCAGTAATCGAGTATTGTACAGAGTAAGGAGGTTTTGTGAAGAAAATTACGTTTTAAGTCCTTGGTGATCTGAACTCCGATTAGCCGAAATGAAGGGTTCATTGGCATCCATCGAAACCGGATGAGCGCTAGGAGGCTTTTGGTTCGTCAAGCTGTAATACTGCATTTTGGAAGCATTAACCTGTACAAGATTGTTCCGTTCCCATGCAGTGATCACCTACAGGTCTCTCGTCAGAGAGGAAGTCAATGCTAGTCTTTTTTCACTGGCGGAGATTGGATTGTCGCTCTGAATTCCGGCAAAAAAAAGAAGTAAGACCTACACGTGATAATGACAATATAAGATAGAAACTTGTATGCAGCTTAAAAGCAGCTCTGGCATAGACATTTCTTCAATTTGTGCTTAAACTCAGTTTAAGTTGTGATATCCCTTAGATATTTCGATAAAATGTTGAATAGGTGGATGCAGTTGTAAAATATAGATTTTCATGTTGTAGCGTACTGCGTGTTATCTAGTTGTTACTTCCAAGGAGAGTAAAAACATCAGGGTTGGTTTTCATAAATGTTAATTGTAATATATAAATTGAAGGATGTGTTAGAATTCCGTGTTCCTTAAAAGTTCCTACATGACTCATGACTCATTGTAGTTTAAACCAAAAAAAAACCTAATTATTTTCTTCTGAGCTAAAAATACCCTTTTAATATCAGTAGACATTCCACAAGTGGCAATATCAAATGACAAATGGCTAAACACAAATGCATAGTATTGGCTTAAAAGACCAACCTGGCTTAGGAGGCGTTTCATTTTGAAAATAGCACAGTACACCTTGTTTAGTTTTTTCCAGACATGATTTATTTATGTGACTGGTAAGCTTGAGATCAGAGTCTAAAAAGTACCTAATAGCTTTACACCGGATCGGAAATATATCCCACTGTCATTAAAAATATAGTCTGGTAAATGCTTTTTAATAAAAAAATTATAAATGTTGTTCTGTCATTCAATATTAGTTGATTTTTTACACCCAGACTCCTTCTCAGACATAGTATAACAAAATATCTTGTGGGGATTTCCCATACTGTATTATAGCTGTATCATCTGCAAGCATCACTACTTTTCCTTCTTTTACCTGTTTTGGGAAGATCGTTCGCAAAAAGAATAAAAACCCTAAATGTGAAAAATCTACTCATATGTAAACTTATCCACCTTTTCACATTCCCCAATCTACGTCACTGTATCATGCAGTCCACTGTCCATTCCCAATATAATAAATCATCAACAGAAGCAAGGTTAAGTAAATATACCTGTTCCCCAACTGCGAAAATCGATAGATCCCATCAGAACAGCGCTTACCTGTATCCCTGAACAGCTGTCGGCGTGTCTTCCCTGGCTAACTACCTCCTCTCCCGCTGATTTCCCACAGGAGCGCCACTTTGGACGTCCCAACGCCGAGCCTCAACATACGGCAAACGCACTTCACTCGACGAGTCTTCGTTTCCCCCCTTAACTAACGGATTAACGGACGTTCCAATGGACGGACTGAATCGGACTATTTTTAAAAAATACCGTCGGTTTCACCTTCTAGCGTCGCGGCGCATTGTGCGACCGAGGCGTCGAGACGCTGACGCGCGACGCCGCCGCCTGTGGTCAGCGAGGGGCGGCACACAATGTGGATATGACAGCGTTGTCACGATGTTTTCCCGATGTTAAGGAAATTTTGGAGAAGTGGCAACCGCGCAATGCGATTTTGGAAAATTTACAATAGACAAGGTGGAAGGTTCTAAATAACTTAAGACTCATTAAAAATGTGTGTGTAGCTTTTCTAACTAAAATTTACTATTGAAGCAAATTTGTAAATGTTGTGCGAATGTTTCTTTTAATCTTTTTTATGGGTAGGTGCTAATAAAAGTATTTTGTATGGTAAACTGTTTCATTCAGTTTATTTTATAATTTTCATCATTTTGATCTTCCCAATTCTGGATTTTTCTTTTCTATCCCTTATTTAACAACCGGATTTAAAAATTCATTTTACATCTAAAAAAATGATGTTTTGCATCATTTATACTAGCTGGCATGACTAAATCCATTAACGATTTTAAATAATTTCTTGTCAATTATGTATAATGACGCTGCGTTGAAATTGTCGGAGATAATAGTCGACTTCATTACATTTAATTAGAAATTATTATTTTGTATTGCTGAAACACTTCTGAACACACTGTTCGCAAACTTGTTTGTTCTTTGGAAAACTGAAGAAAATCCATCTTTGCTTTTCTTGTTGTTGTTGCTTGAACAACTCAGCACTGCATAGCACACCATAGTTAAATGTTTGATCCTCTGTTATTTAATTATATTTCACACAGAGACTATTTGAAACACACAACCGAGTGACGCCAGATATAGACTGAGTGCATGCGCGTGGATTTATGTTCTCGAGTAATATTATCATCAGCACGATGGTCTCTAAGCTTGGTCTCTGAGACAACGAACGAACGCATAGTAACTATATTTTCTATCTTAAATATAAGGTCTATGACGCTGTCTTATTTGGATAGGGTCTAACTTGTGCTGAGCATCATGCTTTATGAGCTAATTGATATGACGGCGTTGCGTGGGAAGTGCAGAGTCAACCTACTTGGCGGCATTTTTTAATTGATAATCAAACGCGCGCCGAATCTATATTCTGCGTGGAAGTGAGTTAGATGCAGCATAGGGACAATCACCCGCAGCATCTTTCCCGCCGGACAGTTAGTGGGAATTTTTGTCACGTTCGGTACAAGTGTTTGCAAGTGATGTTGAGAATCAACTACCCTCAAGAAAATGTGCCCTTCATTCCTCTCGTGACGGAACAACGGGCTTCCGTGAATAGAAAGAAGATGGAATGGCAGCAAACAACGCTGAATTTGGGGTACACTCAATTCCGAGAAAGGGATACTCTTAGCACATCCCCCGTATACTACTTTGTTATACAATCCCGCTTCTACTCTCCTTGGACGTTGCAGAAACATTAATTTGATAGTTGCTTGGAATGATGACAGATTCGTGTTCCACGTTCCACGAGGAAGAAATGTGAACTTGTAAACTGGTTGACTTGCTCGTCGTACCCCACTGCAACTGCGAAATAGGTTAGATTTTTGAAAAAAAATATCACAATAACCTTAAAATTGTGTATTTTTACTATTTTTAGTATTTTTACATCTTGAAGCTTTTTAATTGAGAAGTTGAGTAACTTTCATCAACAGACTCATAAGTTTGTGAATTTCGTATGTTAGGAATTTTCAAAACATTTAAATTTTACAGAAAATGATGCGATATGAAGAAGAAAACGAAAAACTAGCTGATAAATCGGCTTGTGCAGGCGTAAGGGCAGATCTAAAGATGTGCTTACTCGAAAGTGATTGTTGCAAAGTTGTAAGTGCGACCTGGCCTGATGTCTACTTGCTGCTTTTTCTCATAACTATGAATCGAATGTCAAAGTTTGAATCACCTTCATGTTATCTAGCATTTTATCCTGTATTTATACCTCCCCAGTCGCTACCATATTTCACCAATATTAAAACTTTGATACCTATAGAATTGTATTTTAGGAAAAACGAACCCCAAGGGAATGTTTAAAAGCAAATACTGTACCTGTTGAATGTCAGATACTACGTAATACTTTTTTTGAATGCAAACGATCATTGGTGAGTTACTGATCAATACAACTTTCAACAAAAATTAAGTTTGATAAAATCTTGCCTTAATTTTCAAAACTTGTACAGGTAATTTGCTATCTACACTTTATCTTATACATATAATGCCTTTCATATTAAAAAACTGTTATAATGGATTTGTCTGAAGCTGTTGATTACAATTTAAGTGAATCTAAGTGGAAGGCTTATATCTATCATATAGAGGATAAAGCAATTGTGGTTGCTCTTGTTTATAGTTTTTGAATACCTATGAATATAGAGAATTCAACAGAAAACTAAATATATAAAGCATAATAACTCCTGATTGAATCATATATTACCTACCTATACCTCTATTAAAAAATCTGGAAGTGTTGGATGTTGTTGAAATGATACTAAGTTATGGATTTTTTTTTAGCTGGATGCAAGACAAAGGTTCAGAGGTAGAAAAGGTTATTAAGGTGGAAGATTTATTGTAATATGTAATTTAGTTGAGTTTGTGACATTTGTTGATTTATAAATTATTTTTAACTGATGTTGTTTTACTGTATCCCAATAATATGCAGATGAAAAATAGAGCTGATGATGTGGATGTGAAGAGTAAAAAAAATGTATCAAGTAGGTGGACACTGCACTTCACACGCGTCGTTTTCTGTTTTTAAAGGATTATCATCAGCACAAACTAGACTCTCTGAGAAAAAAGTCAGTCAAACAGGTTCATACAATTAGTCTAGTAATATTATTTCCCTGCCCCACTGGTAGTTTATCTGGAAATGTCGCCTCTCCCTAATACTTGGTCAAATGTGGCAGCATATCAGAATATTTTTAACTGGATCTAAGGGCTAATTTGCGGAAAAATCTATGATGCGTGGAATATATCTGATACGTGTTTAGAATTACCAAGGTTGGGAATATAAAAATTTACCAACATCAAAAAATTGATAGAAACGCTCGCCACCCCCACTACAACTCCTACCATAAAGTTTTTTTATACAGGGTGGCGCAGAGGAAACGCACGATTTTCACCTAAGCATAACATTTTTTATTTTCAAGATAACTTTGTTTCAGTTACAGCTAAATAAAGTAATGATAGTGCACTTTTAAACTAATGATGGTAAATAACGTCACTCAAGTGTCGCCCTGCTTCGCGCTCGCACATCTCCAACCGCTCTTGAATGTTGTGCATTACACGTAAAATCATTTCTTGTGGTATTCTTGCAATTTCTTGACGAATAGCAATTTTCAGTTCCTGTAACGTACGAGGCTTGTGAGGGTACACTTTATCCTTAAGGTAACCCCACAAAAAGAAGTCGCATGCGGACAAATCTGGGGAGCGTTGGGGGCCAAGGGACATCGCCGAAACGGGAAATCACATGTTCAGGAAACATCTGTCGAATCCATTCCATTGATGCTCTCGTTGTGTGAGCTGTGGCACCGTCTTGTTGGAACCACAGCTCTCCCAAGTTTACTTGTTGCCGTTGAAGTTCGGGTAACAGAAAATTTTGTAACATGTGAACATAACGTGCTGAAGTAACTGTTACTGCTCTTTCTTCCTCTTCAACAAAGTAAGGACCAACGATACCTAAATTTTTGACTATGCAAGGGTCGTTGGTGTAGCTCTCGTGGATTTTCGGCCGCCCAATACCTACAGTTCTGCTTGTTTACATATCCTGTTAAATGGAAGTGTGCTTCGTCACTCATCATTATGACGACGTCAGGATCGTCAGCAAAAATGGCCCGCATTCTCGCACAAAATTCTCTACGCTGTGCAAAATCGCTTTCCGTTAGCTCTTGCACGATCATTATCTTGTACGGATGATATTGTAAATCGTCATGCAGAATGCGTTGTAACGACCGACGGGACATACGCAGAGTTGGAGCTTGGCGCCTAGTGGACCGTTGGGGACTATCAAGGACCGCTCTTCTCACTGTTTCGATATTGCCTGGAGTCCGCACGGTACGGGGAAGGCCAGGTGGCTTCCTCTTCATTACGGATCCAGTACTTCGAAATGCTTCAACCCATCGGAGTATTGTGTTTCGATCTGGAATTGGCCCGTGGCGTTCAACATTGAACTGTCGACGGAATAAACGTTGCACGATCACTACAGAATCATCGTTTCGAAAAAATTGCTCGACGGCAAACACACGATGCTCCGTCATCCACGGTGCCATGGCTGAAACTGCATCGCATGTGTTCTCTGCTGGCGGTGCGGCGAGGTCATATCCCTATTCTGTGCGAAATACCATTCGGTCAGAAAACATGCGTTTCCTCTGCGCCACCCTGTATATAAAATTTTTTTCAACTATGATCAGGGTCCTTTAAACCGTCAAAAAAATGATCCTTCTTCAACTTTTGGCCCTTTTATCTGACTGAACTAGACCCATTTTCAAAAAATAAAAACCTTTTGCATCCTTGCCATAGTAGTAACATTGTCTAAAAATTTTATTGGAATCTGAGTGATACTTCTCTAGTTATATTATTAGCGGACATACCAAGAGTCAAACTGACACAACTAAGTGACATGGTTTTTCATGATGTACATCATATAACATCCAAAAACATCATAAATATACCGTTTTTCATATTTTATGCGATTACAATACTTCTCCGCCAGTAAGCATGGGAAATAAACATAGAATGAGATTGTATATAAAATATATTATAACGTAATGCATAATTATCAATGAATTTAAAAATTATAGTAGATCTTCTTCTGATCTAATGTATTCTCCAATATCAGCTTGATGGAAACAGACTGAAGCAAGTGGATCAGCCAATTTACACTCTGCTGTTGACTTAGCAGCTGCTCCAAACCCTAGAGGCAAATCTTGCATATTGTAGATGACTACACCCTGATATTTCTCTATATTTTCACTTATCCTTCCTAGTCCTGATTTTGTTATGTGGTGTCCATACAGAAACTGTTGCTCTGTCGAGGGTTTCAGCCATATTTTACTCTGAAATAAATGATGATAATAATGGATAAGAATGTTGATTAACATACTCTACCTAAAGATGCATTTTTGCATCAAAAAAATTATCTGAGATGAAACAACATATCTGGACATTCTTTACAAGATACATATTAACATTCTCAAAATAGATTAATTATTGAAGAGAAGAGACACATAGGTGTGACAGTCTGATAGATTTTGCAGGATATCTCCTCTCTTGTACAATTTTTTGGAAGCACACTATATTTAGATAGTATATATATATATATATATATATATATATATATATATATATATATATATATATAATATATGGTGCTGTTGCGTCTTGTAGAACTTCCGATTTCACTGTTTTTTCTCTTAAAACTTCTAGAGGCTAGTCTGATAGATTATTTAGAAACAAAAAACGTGTGGATGAAGCACGCTTATCAAGAAATTTTTTTCCCAAAACACATTTTTAGCTGTTATTTCCATGCGCCATCTGACGTAGACTTCTGTGCATATGTCATATATGAGACGTGCTTGCCTGCGGTGTTGCCGGATTGAGCTCCGCATTTAGGGAAAAATATGAAAAGTGGAAAATTTATATACATAGATTAATTAATGAATCACAAACACGAAAAACTGAAACAAACAACAGTAGCAAAATAAAAGGCGATTCCTAATCAGTATAAATAAAGAAATAACAGTAGTAAGCTAAAAAATGATGCATTATAAATAATTATAATAAAAATAAAAACAGAAGTAAAACAAAAACGAGTTCCATGTAATTATAAAAAACAAAAAATAAAAACGGTAGTAAAACAAAAAAAACAATTCCATGTAATTATGAAAAACAAAAAATAACAAACGGTAAAATTAAACGCAATTCTAAGTGATAACAAAAAATAACAGTACAAAAAAAGTCCATTTAATAAAAAAACAAAAAATAACAAAGAGTTCAATAAAAGGCAATTCTAAGTGACAACACAATATAAAAAGTAAAAACAGTAGTAAAACGAAAAACAATTTCATTCCATCCAAATTGCTTTTTATTTTCCTACTTATTTTTTGTTTTTTATAATTACATGGAATTGTTTTACTACTGTTTCAATTTTTGGTTTTTATAATATTTTATTGCTGTTTGTTATTTTTTGTTTTATACTTAGTAAGAATCACTTTTAATTTTACTACTGTTGTTTGTTTCAATTTTTTGTTTTTGTGTTTCATTAATTAGTATAAATGTATATAAATTTTCCACTTTTCATATTTTTTCTCTAAATACGGAGCGAATCCGGCAACACCCCAGGCAAGCGCCTCTCATATATGACATATCCACAGACGTCAACGTCATATGGTAGATGGCAGAGGAAATAACTGCTACAAAATAGTGTTTTGGGAAAAAAATTCATGAAAAGCGTGCTTCATCTACACTTTTTATGATTTAAAATAATCTTTCAGATTTCAGACTACCGTCTATAAGTTTCAAGTGAAAAAACAGTGTAATCCGAAGTTCTACAAGGCGCAACAGTACCTAATTATATATTGATAATAACTAGGGCAACTAATACTCAATTCCTTATTCAGGATATTAAGTACACAATTATATGGCTTACCTGAGCATAGGGGGCCAAATAATTCAAAGCTGTAATATGCAAGCGAAATTTATTTGACTTTGTGAATTTTCCAAAGCAGGTACCAACAGATATTAGTTTTTCTGGTGGTATGTTGCTTGATAGCTTCAGTATTTTCTCTGAGACGTAGTAAACTCTGTCTTTTTGTTCTCTGAAGCAATACAAACCGTCGGGACGTTCGATGAGCAGTTTGATGTTTGAACCAATACTGAAAAATCATACTTGTTTACAAAGCCGGTAATAAGGTTGCATATTACTTACTATTTTGATAGTTTCTCGAAAAGGATTCTTGTTCGTTCTTCTGAAAGTCGCTTCATCTTTTTTATTGTCTTTGTTAGTTCAATAAAAATAAACTAAAAAGATGACATCATAACCTCTAAAATCCATGTGATGTATTATAATCAAATTCAAGCGGATAACCAAATGGAAATGGTATTTACCATTTTGGATTGGTATTTACCGATCCGTTCAAGCGAGTGTGGTTATAAGTCCGTGACGTCATGAATCAGCTGTTGTATGTCATAGCTATCACCGCAAAATTGTGGTATTTACCCAACTCGGGAGTAGTTTTATATTTCTGGTTATTATTTGACATGTGACAAGTTAGAATTTTGCCGCGTATTGGATATTTTTATTGTACTTTCGCTTCATTTTTGGGAAACTTGATACAGGCTGACTTCAGTTTTAGCATAAGAGAGCACCTTATTATTTATAATCATTACTGTTGTTGGGGAAACTTTAAATCTAGTTCCTACGCTTAACAAAGTATCCTGTATAGCCATATACCACAAGAATATTAAAATATGGCCGTATAAACTAACTGGATGAGGTCCACCTGTATACGGTTTTGTATCTTTTTTTGATCATTTTTGCTAAATCAATAAATATTTTCTTTGACATGCGGAAAAGTTTAGAGAATTGAAAGTTATCATAGCTACAAATCCATGGTTCCATCAGTAAAAATTTTTTTCTGAAAAAAAAGCATTCCTCCCATTAATATTATGTAAGTTTTCTTTTTTTCTTTTTTCAACTTTCCATACCCCGTTGTAGACTAAAAAGCACCGATTATTAAGTGATAATAAAAATATTCAGAAATTATATACGCGCATTTCTAAAATAAACAACTTGCAACAAACCGCGGTTAAAACCAACGCGATCAAGCGATTCGAGTAACTGACGTCATCATCCCGTGTGTCATCTTGAACCATATTATAACCGCGGTACATAATAGTGAAAATTTTGGTTATCCGCTTGGATTTGATTTATGATTTACATTCATGACTTATGACTGCCAAGACTGATCAAATTATTGGTATAATTCCTTTGTTTTACATGAGAAAGTGGGGCGCGGTGTGATGATCAGGTGATATGCCACCTTTTTCTTTATTGGTTTTCATTTTCACCATCTACATATATCTAAAAGCCGTCCCCAAGCGGTTTGACCGACTTGCACGGCGTACGTTCTGTAGCTCCGAAATTTTTTTAGTAGTTCTACTAGTAGTAATTGATAATTCTACGCTCCCTCAGCAAAATTGTGCTATTTATTGACACAATCTGCCAACTGTCTGATTACCTGTGTATCTGCTTGCTTTTAAACGACTACGAAGTATCTCGGTCTCCTAAGAAGTAATAATTATCAAGCAAGCGGATCTCAATTTAGGCAAGGTAGGTAAGATACCTTTCTTGAATTTGTTGTTGTTTTCATAGCCACATTTTCATATTGACTATCCAAAATTCCATTTATTAATTATTGACAAATTTCGAAAACATTTTTTGACGTTATACATTACATTTATATGATGAAAACCGTTCGATTCATTTCCGTATGGGTCTGTTTGTCTGTGTCTCTTCTGTCTGGCGATTCTTGGCCACTCTGTAACTCAGAAAATGCTGCATTGATTTTAATGGAATTTTCGACACAAGTCTAGTGACTTTGGTGACCTTTTATATTGGCTGGGTGGTAGCGGCATTATGAGCAAAAAAACGTAAATATTCAGCATTTCCAAAATTTTGTTTTTCGTGTAACTTACCTTGTTATTGTCTCTATCCTCGGTGGTAGATCTTTATGTTTGGCTGACCTCCAGACGAAACTATACAGGCTGTCCGCAAAGTTGGGGTTTTCCTTTTCAGAAACAACTACCCTTGAAATAACAAAGGTAATGTGTAGTGAAACGAGGCCGACCCAGTAAAAAAAATAAAGGAAAAAGTACTCACTCTCCAGTTGACGAGAAGGGCTAAGTACGTCTCTGCCCGAAATCATACCACTCCAACAGAAAATGAAATCAGCTGATGCGCTACCGAGCAGACGCAGGCAAACAAGGAAGGCAAAATGTTGCGTAAAAAGTCTAGGTATTGCATCCCGTCCAATCGATTTGGGAGAATAAATGGTCCAATGAGCATACCGTTCACCATGCCAGCCCAAACATTCACCGAAAATGTTTGTTGAAAATGTGCCCGACGGACAGCGTGCGGATTTTCTACTGACCAAACATGAGTGTTGCGAAAGTTATTCACCCCATTACGCGTGAACGTAGATTCGTCTGTCACCAATATGCACTTCAAAAAGTCCGGATTATTGTCATGTTGATGCAACAACCACTCACAAAACCGCACTCTTGCTGGAAAATCGTCAGGTTGAAGGGCTTGTACACTTTGGACGTGAAACGGATACAGCCCCTCTTCATGCAGCGTTTGCCACACTTTAGTTTTTAATACTTGCACTTCTCTAGCCACGTCTCTAGTGCTTGTTGAGGGATTCTCGTCTACGCGATTACCTCTACACGCGTGACCGTAACCGTCGGTTGAAGGTTGCATACTGACCTGACATACTGACCCCGACCCAGTTCTGTCGTCGGGTTGAGCTAGTGTCCTAGTACCACTCGGGGATGTCGCGGCTACAGGACGGTATTCAGATATTTTTGATGTTGCAGAGCCCTTTATCTCGGTTCCCTTAAGACATTGGTGTATATGGTACTAAGAAAAATTGCTTATGTTTTCAAGATCTACACGTCGTGTAAAGGAAAACCCCAACTTTGCGGACACCCTGTATGTGCGAAATCGAACGTTTATCAACGTTTCACCTTGCGCTTAATGTTTGCTTTTATTTTTCCATTCCTCATGTAGAACCCGTTAGCTTCACTTTGCTGAATACTAAGGAGGAACGTATGTGGCTGCGTAATCGAATGTTTGCAATTTTTCCAAATTCCACAAAGTTAAGAAGAAAGATGGTCCCGAGACGCAACAAATACAGAATCGCAATCATAGTTCACACATCAGACAAGTCAGTGTCACGTCTGTGATTGGCTTAAGAAGAGAATTTGTCAAAATGACAGTCCTCCCGTCACCGATTTCCTCAATTGTTTTGTGATGAGTTAAAAGGTATTTCTGTTTTTCCAACAGCCGTTCAGCTTTATCCAAAAAAGTGATGAAAATTTTTATTTGACACTGTTGTACCTGTAGTGTAGTGGCCGATTCATTTAAAGTACTTTTTGATTTCCTGAAAGGGGGGATCACCATGGAGGAAATGGAATTAACTATAGCCAGACTAGTTTTAGGTAAGACGTTTTTTTGGCGGGAAAAACCGTTTTTCAACTTCAAACGTGTTTTCTTCTAGGATATTTGAAGAGCGAACATTGCAGGAGTGCTTACAAGGAATTTTTAAAAACATGTCCCCACTTACAGCAGAATAACATCTCGAAAAGCAAATTTTTGCGTACAAGGTTTTTGGGGCTAAGCCTAGAAGAGATCATCCATGAATATGTGGATATATATCATATGGGTGAGAATAGATTCGTTAATCCTTCATATAAATCCTAATTTTTAACAGAGGGTGCCCCTGTGCATGGAATATCTTGATCTTATTCCCTGCCCACCATCAAAGGACAAATGCTTACTATAAACTAAACTTGCAAGGGACTAATATTGCTATAATAATCTGACTCTAGTAGAAGCATTCCTTTTTTAATCAACAACATTCATGATTTTCTTGATACAATAATAACTTATCTAGTTTGGTGATTCCAACTTTAATCTGCAGATTCCAATGAGGATTTTCCTTATGCTATCCTTAAAAATATTAAAATTATTTATGTGATGCAGAATTTTATCAAAAAAAATTCGTAGATGAGTAAGTAGTGCTCTTTTCTATATTGTGGTAAGTTTGTGTCTAAGACAATTGTGTCCACTGTGCCTTGTACCTTCAGGTTCTTCAGAGGCGCTAAATTGTTCCCTTCTTCTAAACAAAAACAGAAAACACTCAAGAATATATGCACGTGACACAGTGAGAATATTCAGCTTTCTAAGCCTTCCTCTGCAAGTTTGTATATTTCCTAAAAAAGTCTAGTTTTCTAAGCTTGAAAAAATGTTTTTTATTATTATCATCTCAAAGATGGTTCTATCAATTTTGTGAGTAAAGTGTGAGATATTGACAGTTTAAAAAAAGGATATTTTTCAGATTAAGCAGCTTATGGTACAACTTTTCTATTCTTTTGGTATTTTTCTATACCTCACTTTGTTTTTGAGGATGAACATGAAAACAATATCACTACACCCTCATTTCTAGAAAAAAAGTTATTTTTCCATGACAGTTTGCTATCTCTGTTAAAAGAGAGATTTTTTGTAAACTTTGACACACTGTTTCTTGGAAAACAAAACTTTTTAGGACACATATTTATATGAATTTTGCTATTTGAATTGAGTCAGGCATGCACATCTATATTTTTATATCATTAAGTTCATTGTTTGGCTTAAATATGTAAAAATCTTCACTTAATTTCAGTGCAAGCAAGGTTAGAAGCAACAAACTATTTTCAAGAACATCACCATAAGCAAAACTTATTAAGCCAAATATTATATTTATTCAATAAAGTTCCTACCATTGACATTAGTAGGACTTCAACTCCTTGTATCAGGTAAGTAACTTATAAATTGTTCTGATTAATTTTAGTGGAAATATCTTATCAAACTTGCAATTTACTTCAAGTTTATCATCATTAGTTTGGCTTTTGGGAGTGATGTAAGGATATGTTTAAACACTTCTCATTAGGACTTTTCTGCTATTTCATTTAACCTATTGACTTTTACACTAACCAAATTGACAAGTTTTTCAATTGTAAGTAAAATGCCTTCAATTTGATGAAATGTTAATATTCTGCACTGAAAAAGAAGATATATTCATATCAAGATACAAACATTTAACAGAATCTGTATTATATATACAGGGTGTCCGCAAAGTTGGGGTTTTCCTTTACACGACATGTAGATCTTGAAAACATAAGCGATTTTTCTTAGTACCATATACACCAATGTCTTAAGGGAACCGAGATAAAGGGCTCTGCAACATCAAAAATATCTGAATACTGTCCTGTAGCCGCGACATCCCCGACTGGTACTAGGACACTAGCTCAACCCGAAGACAGAACTGGGTCGGGGTCAGTGTGTCAGGTCAGTATGCAACCTTCAACCGACGGTTACGGTCACGCGTGTATAGGTAAGCGCGTAGACGAGAATCCCTCAACAAGCACTAGAGACGTGGCTAGAGAAGTGCAAGTATCAAAAACTAAAGTGTGGCAAACGCTGCGTGAAGAGGGGCTGTATCCGTTTCACGTCCAACGTGTACAAGCCCCTCAACCTGACGATTTTCCAGCAAGAGTGCGGTTTTGTGAGTGGTTGTTGCATCAACATGACAATAATCCGGACTTTTTGAAGTGCATATTGGTGACAGACGAATCTACGTTAACGCGTAATGGGGTGAATAACTTTCGCAACACTCATGTTTGGTCAGTAGAAAATCCGCACGCTGTCCGTCGGGCACATTTTCAACAAACATTTTCGGTGAATGTTTGGGCTGGCATGGTGAACGGTATGCTCATTGGACCATTTATTCTCCTAAATCGATTGGACGGGATGCGATACCTAGACTTTTTACGCAACATTTTGCCTTCCTTGTTAGAAGATGTGCCATTAAGTGTAAGACAATCAATGTGGTTTCTGCGTCTGCTCGGTAGCGCTTCAGCTGATTTCATTTTCTGTTGGAGCGGTATGATTTTGGGCAGAGTCGTACTTAGCCCTTCTCGTCAACTGGAGAGTGAGTACTCTTTCCTTTATTTTTTTTTACTTGGTCGCCCTCGTTTCACTACACATTACCTTTGTTATTTCAAGGGTAGTTGTTTCTGAAAAGGAAAACCCCAACTTTGCGGACACCCTGTATAGTGAAATTTATGGATTTTTAATAAAGTTATACATATACCCTATTTCACGAGTATCCAGCATGATTTGAGGTCTCCTGAGGTAAACAGCTGATCAGCAGCAGACATTTTTGTGTTGGTCTGCAACATTGGCAATAATGAATCAGATATAAATATAGAAATACTTCTTTGTGGCATTATGTTTTTTGTATGCAAATGAACTTTGTTAGCAAATACAAAATGAATCTGTAGTGTACAAAAAACCAAAACAAAATATGGCTCTGTCTACCTAGCGTTGACGGATCCGCCAGAATTATGTGTCCTGTGTTGATATGGGGAATTTTGAAGTATTACTATATAACCAGCTGTCATTCTACCAAGATGGATACTCATGAAATAGGGTAGATCTGGAGCCTTATCTTTTGAGTGTATACAGGAATTAAAAACTTCTCTTTGATTTTATTACCAGTTTTAATGTTTTTGAACTCTCCAACTGAAGTAAAATAATCTTGATTTTCTGCTAAGAAAATGTATCTTATAAGATATTTAGATACCTTTAGTTAGATGTATATCTAAATGCTTGACACTACCTGAATCCAGATACTAAAACTTTTGGTCAATACTGTTTGTACATTGAATACTGCTATGTCATCTTAAGTTTATAGAGAATTTAAAAACATCTTCCTCTTTGATTTTTATATCAGTTTTACATGTATTTGATCTGTAAGTAAATAGCATATAAAATCATACCTTGACTTTAGCCGCATACCCTGCCAAGGATTTAACACCATTTACTTCTTTGATCTTTTCAGATCTCCAAGAGAGTCTAACCTAGATGAAGCAAGCCCTTTCTCATATATTGAACATGCAAGTGATGTAGAAACTACACCTGTCCATACATTACCTGGAAATATTTGTTCTGGAAATCATGAGAGGGGTCCAAAAAAATCTGCCAAAAAAGCAGCTAGATCACCAAGAATTGAAGACGAGGAAGTACAATCAAGGGATGGTGATCAAACTCCTACTTCTGCAGAGGTATTTTTTATAAGATCTTTGCTATTTGAATGAATAAAAGGATCAGGGCTTATAACTCAAATTTCATTTTTATCGCATCTACCAAATTCTTGCATTCAAATATTATATAATATGCATATGTTAAACTTTTGTTACCATTTTTATTTTTATTTCAGTACTTGATATTTAAAAATCCAAAGGATTGAGTTTTGTCCAAAACTCCATTTCCGAATTTTTTTTGTGAGCACATACTTTCTACTTCAAATATATAGGCACAGAACATATACAAAAATAAATGTGTTGCTCCATGGTGCTCACACTAAACACATAAGTTGCAGTATCATTATACAGGCTGTGGCAAACTTCCTTTGTTAAATGCGCGCCATTCAGTCGGTCGATGTCGTAGCGCTAGTGGTTGGAACACTGAAGAGCGTGCTTTTCCGATGAGGGCTGCTTTTCGATTGGGTGTTCTAATCACTTTAATTTAGGTCCGCTGGTCTCCTTCCCGGACTTAAGATGAATTGTTTCGTGGGTTACTACATTCAGACAAACTTTCCAATCGTTCTGTGAGGAGAATTCTTTATGATGATCTTCATTTCCATCCTTACAAGGTGGCAATTGTGCAAGAACTTTCTGAACGGACTTCAATTATCTGATGAACGCATGTGAGCGTCTTCTCGAAGAATGCTACTGAGGATGCTATTGTTTTTTTTTTGGTGAAGCTCATTTTCATTTGTGTGGATCCATCAATAAACAAAACATGAACCATGTGCTACTGGCTTGACACCAATCTTCGGGAATTGCATCAAAGGCCTCTGAATTCACCTAAAGTCACAATGTGGTATGCAATTTCCTCAGATGGAAGTCGCGTGTTATTTACTGTTAAATGTTTTCATTGTAATAAAAGTTTAAGTGTAGATTTAAAAAGACGTTTTTCCGGTTCGTTTTTTTTTTTAATTTCCAGCGTTACCAATGTGCAACGCCACCTGCAAAACATGGCAACAATAAATAAAGTTATGTAAATATTTTTTTTATTTGTTTTATCGAAAGCAGGTATAATTTGAACAAAAAAAATTTAAAAGGTGACTTTCGTGTAACTTAATTATTAAAAACATGCAAGTCCTTTTTATTTTTTATCTTGCAAACGAAGCGAGATAGGAAAGAAAGCAGACAAAAAACTTGTATTCATTGAATAGAAAAATTTAAAACAGTCAGTTGCGCACAATTTTTTTGTCAAAGATATTGGTTAGTGTGTTTTTCGGGACCCCACTGGACTTAATAATTTCAATCTATTTGGGGCTAAATTAGCCCCTTACTGCCCTTAATGCCACTGCTAAATTTGAACAAATTCTACTAAGTTTATTAAGATATTTAGGAAAAACCGATGTTTTAACCACATACTTAAATAGCACCCTGTATATTTAATTTTTGTTGTATTCATGTATTTCTTTCAATATTTAAAATGTTATTTTCAGTTAGTAAATACCGAAGTTTTAGCTCAAACCTTATTAGAAAACAAAGAATTTCACGAGAAGATAGCACAAACAATAAATAAAGTAGTTGAGAATCAACATAGAGATTCTGGAGAGTTAGATAAGACTGTTAAAACTGTTGTCAAAGAAACAGAGGAAGATCCTATATTTGATAAGTTGTTGGATGAAATCATTGGTAAGAAAATCTGAAATCTATCAAATTGAACAGTTTGTTGAATTTTTGAACTTTCAGGATCAGCAGCTTTGATTGATAATGTAAGATTTGAACCAAATAAGTCATCAAACAGGTAAAGTGATTTATCTAGATTGGCACATTTTTGTAATCTTATGATATGTCATCCCAAGACTTCAATTCCTCTCAAAGAGTTAATTTTTTACTGTAATCCATTGAAGGGTGTAACGTCTGAAACTTACTCTGTAGCCTTTTTCATTGTACGGTTGAAAATTCTCTGGTAATAAAGGGTCTCAGTTGCTCCAGTAAACTACATTGTAGCTTGAATTGTTTTTTTTTATCACTAGCATATTGTATTTGTTAGAATACTACTGTGGAGACTGATTTGACCTATATCTGATGAGTGATGACTATACCACATGATACATTTTCATTTTGAATATCTATATATATGATTCAAGATCAGCAACAGAATATTAATGACTCGGAATATTTTTTTCAGTATAATTTGCTTTTTTTTACAAATATTGGATCATGTTAACATATCAGGGTTTTTGTGGATTTCTTAAGTTTTTAGAACGTGTGAGTTTCAAATGTAGTGTAATTGTGATTTCTATTCATTGCCGTGTAAAGCCATGTTGTATGTAGATTTATGCATGGGTAAAGATTCATTTTTTTTATTGTAAAATGGTTGCCGTCAAAATAAATAAATATCATATAAGATGAAAATGTATTATTTTCTATTTATAACAGAGATGGCATTGCCATCACATCAAGTAATAACAACAAAAAACAAGATGGCTCCAATGGATCGTCAAAATCAGTTTCAAGGGAAGATGAAATTCACAAGCAAAATGGTGAGGCCATCAATTGCATTGTCGCCAATTCAACAGAAAAAATGCAAGCCCAAGTTCCTTCTAGCCAGGTACCTCCTAACGGAGAGGTAAGATTAACTTTTATTAACCAAAACAGCATCATGATATTCTGGAAAGTTAATGAGGAGGAGGGCAAGGAAGAGTCCTGAGAGTTACAAACTTATCCTTATTGTAATGTAACATATTTTTATTTCCTACGTCACTGGCCATGAAGTATTCTAATTGCTAAGGATTGTTTTTTGGATGATATTACATATGTACACCGTGAAAAACCATGTCACTTATTTCCGTTCGTCTGTCGGTCTGTCTATTCGCCATTCTTCGGGTCTTCTATAACCGCTCCGATTCATGAAATTTCTTTCTCAATTTTTTGATGTTAGTGTATTTATACGCTCTCAACCTCGGTAATTCAACGCACCTATTAGACATATCTCAAACATCATAGACTGTTCCGTACATTTACTCTCTTAATAAGAGTCCTGGCTATACTGCTGCGTCGTGCGGTCAGGTATGCGGCAGAAGCTTCGTTGCCAGTTGGACTATGCTACCGGTAGGGCAGGGAAAGAGTGTCTATGGACTAGTTGGATGAGCATGTTTGAATGACTTGATCGGTTTAATTTTCGTGTTATACATGCGCGTAACTAACTTTTTTCTCAGAGGGTCTAATTTATGGTGTTCATAATCTTTTATAAACTGATGGCGGCGTTACATGGGAAGTGCAAAGGCAACCTATTTGACACCATTTTTTTGTAGGTGATAGTATTTGATGGTTCACTGGATAATTTCATGAACAGCAATATGTGCACTGCTCCTACAGCACCAGTAACTACTGTGCCGTCAATACAGAACCAGTTTTACACCACTGGGTTGTTGATCACCACTGGAGCCAATACAGCCACTATGGCTACTTTGACAAACAAGCCAATCCAGGTGCCGTTACTGCTAACTGAGCAGGATATACTCAGTATGCCTACTGTCATTGTCAGTGATAATCAAACCAATACTGTTAAGAAAACATCTGAACGTGAGTATAAGCTGAAACATTCATTGGACACCTGTGATTTTCATGTTCATATAACTCGTTTGTCTGGTCAAATCAAAGATACATATATGTTTAGACTTAAATTTATTGTACGACGTTTCGACCAAAAGTGTGATCTTTTTAAAGTACAATTGACATCTGTGACAATGTGATGGAAGAGTGGTGCCAAACAAATCGCCTAATCTTGAATACTGACAAGACGGTAGTTGTTCACTTTAACTTTAGTACCCCATGTCTTTTAGCAGCACTATATCAGATCTCTACAACCTTCCTGGGTATTGAGTTGGATGCATGATTGAATTTGAAGCAACAGGTTGACAGTGTATGCAGAAAACTGAGTAGCTACTTCTATGCTATATTGAAATTGAAGCCAATTGTCTCCAAATGAACGCATATAGATGTGTACTACACAGTGGTGTATTCGGATCTATCACATAACATCAGCGTCGGAGGACAACCATGCTAGAGTGTTTATTTTGCAGAAACGTATCTTAAGGTTGATATTTGACATTAACAGAAAAATTAAGTGAAGAAATATTTTAACATAACTTGTGTATATAAAAATTCATAAATCTGTCCTAAATACCTTCAATCATAGGGGCCAGTTTCTGATAAACAACGACTTCAACAGGAACTTAACACTAGAGGAAAACAAGACCTGTGTAAACCTTCGCAAACACTGTCAATATTCGAAAAATTACCGGCCTTCGCCTGCACCAAGGTATTCAATAAATTGCCATCAATGCTAAAAGATATCATATACCTAAGTAGGTTTAATAAAGAGCTGAGGAGTCTGCCAATAGAAAAACGCTACCGTTCAGTAGCTGATGAGTATCATTCACCTTGAGTGAAACTTTTGTATGCATACCTTTTATCTTTTATTGTTATACTTCTTGATCTTTATACATCTTGTACCGCTAATTTTTGTCTTGTTGCTTAGTGTATGTGCGCGCGCGCATGCGTCCTTTTCCACTAATTCTTTCTATTTTAATCGCTACTTTTTTGACAAATTTATGTATTTATACACAAACATACTTTTAAATTTTGGTGATAATAAAGTACTTATACAGGTATATCTGACAAGTCATATCTATGATCCAAAGACAATAACCAATCTATCTCTATCTATCTATCCCAAAGTGACAAGCAAGCATGAGGTTATCTGCCTTTTTTTAATGTGCCAAGCACATCACCCCTTTCCATCGTTTCGAAAACGCCGCACGTACAATAAACTTCAGTCTAAATATATATTTGGTTTTGATTCGGCCAGACAATGGAGTCCTATAATTCCTTATATCTTCAAAGTTTGTCTTTATCCACTCATTTAGGCAAGTAACAGAAATAAAAAGAGGGATTTTACGACAAAAATATCTACACGATGTTTTTTCTGCAGGTACATAGATGTCCTATTGAAAGCTCGCGAGTCAGTAGTACAGCAGTGGGACATTAGATTGATTTAATTAGTATTCTGATAACCCATTTTAATATGAATTTCTTGCATTTAATTAGATTTGGGGTCCTAAGTAACACAGCTTGCCGACGTTTCGGAATGATAAATTTCCTTCTTCAGGACTCCTTTTAGTCAGAAACTGTGGCAGTCAAATATTAATTCAAAGCTATGCACATCTTAGATATTAACATTTAGATTGCAACTTATTAACACGACAACGCTCAAAGAAACGAAAAATCGTTCTGCAATCGATAACAGCCTGTGATGATAACTATTCGTATATTACAGCCTACTATAAAAAGCAAATGTTAAATCCATACTGGACTTCCCTCTAGAAAGTAGTCTAATCATATCAGACGAAAATGCCCCTGGTTTGCGAAATAATTGTAAAGTCTGGTTTTATTGCTGCAAGTTGTTCAAGGGGGTATTTTAAACATGGACGCATAAAATGGGTACTCAATTTTTGTGGGAAAACTATTTATTCGACAACAAGGAATGAGAAAACGTGTTTTTTAGGATTCAATCGAAAGTGTTGACAGGAACGGAAAAACTCTTCATATAAGATTTTTAGGTATTTATGAGACCTACAAAATGAGACCACACGTAAAAAAATCCGACTAATAATTTGTAGGATTCGTACTTCTTAATAACCACAACAAAATTGGAGTAGATTGGTCAAGTAGTTTTTGAGAAGTTTTAATTGTTTATCCCAAAACACCTGTTTTCCGGCCATCACTACTAGTTTATTGAGCATTATACAGGGTCACACAAATTGTTGTTCCCATTTTATGCGTCCACGTTTTAAATAAGCCATTGAACAACTTGCACCAATAAAACCAGACTTTACAATTATTTCGGGGAAATTTGCTAATATTATTAGACTAAAGCATCATTGTTCGTTTAAAATCCAAGGTGAGACCGTTCCTCAAACGGCACTGAATACTGTGACCTTTAGGCCCGATTTTACTATTGACCGACGGGAATCAAAATTTGCACCTTTGGCACAAATTGAGCCAATGATGTGTCTTCGATCTAATGAATTTGGTCGATTTCTTGTAAAACGTATCTCCAATTAGAGAAAAATTATATGATTTGTGTGAGATGAGCACGTAATTGTCAAATTAAGAAATACTTTATATATCACGTTCATTTATGTCCCGACACACAAGTTGAATTAAGTTGAATTTTAATAATCAAAAATAAGGATTTGTGGCCTACTCGAAACGTGATCAAACAATAGATTGACATCACGCCGTTACCGAGCATTTTCTTGAAAATAACAGTGTCTCACTTCCTGTATGAAATTCTGCCTAATAAATGTTGTGAAGACAAATAAAAATACAGAATACTTATTCTTTAACAAAGTACTTATTTAATTTATTTGATTATCGTCCGAAAACCGCTGTTCCTTAAGACAGCCCTGGTTTTTTTACACCGAAACTGCCGCCAGAGCACCGCGGCTGCTATGAGGATCCCAAAGAAAACTTGTTAATCCAAGTTTTGAACTGCCTAAGGTTAGTAGAACTGGGAACAGTATCCTCTTGTAGATTGTTACACAATCTCAACACCCTAGGGACAAAGGAGCGGTCGAATCGGCAAGTTCTGGATGTACGTTCGACACGGTTAGGATGGGAGGCCGAAGACAGGCGGGTGTGTCTGCAGGCACATCTCGCGGCGGCACCATGGAGGAGAGCTCTTAGGAGCAATGCCCATTGGTGTAGTTGTAGAAGACAGCTAGATCGCCGCGGTGACGGTGACAAGGCTAGATATAGTAATCCTACTGCCCAGTAGAGGGCGCAAGATCTCCCAGTTAGCAGGACTGCTTGAAGGAACAGGTTTTTCGCACGGTGGTACAGTAAACTGAATACATACTTACTCGATGTTTGTTCGTGTCGAAGAATAAGCATTCTGTAATTTTATTTATGTCCTCAAAGAATTAATCAAGCAGAATTTTGTACAGCAACAGTTGAGACATTGTTATTTTCAATAAAATGCTCATTTAATTGCTGTCATATCAATCTAGAATCTAGATATTATATCAGATTTGTATCCATGTTTCGAGTACGGCGCAAATGCTTCTTTTTCAATAGGCTTTTGTAACTAAACCAAGTGATTTATGACGTATTTCCGGATCTAATACTTAATTACACAAATCGTATAATTATTCTCTAGTTTGAGAGACAGTTTACAAGAAATCAACCAAATTCATTAGATCCATTGCTTCGAAGACGCCTTCTCATTGGTTGAATTCGCAAAAGAGTGCGTGGGTACGCACTCTTTTGCGCCCCAGTCTCAGTAAAATCGGACATTAGTCAAGCTTTTGAAGTGCTCACACTTATTTTTGTCCAGTAAAACAGATAAAACCACGTTTAACTCCAAGAAACGCTCCGACCATCTTGCCAAACTTCGCTCCATCAGAAAACCCACCGAAACAACTAGGCCTAAAAAAAGTCGTCTACCCAGTGGTCTCCTCCTCCTCGATGGTCACAAGCACCCCTGCAGCCACCAGCAACACACAATCTTCTTTGCCCCAGCTGATGAACGAAGAGGAGAAACAAGACCTCCCTGAAGACGACGTAGAGGTGGTGGCACCACCCGTGACGCCTCCTGCCTTGGACAACATGCAGAAAGTCACGCCTAAGAGTGCGTCGCATGTGAGGAATTTAGATTTCTCCACTCCGCCGAAGATCAATAAGAAGGATTTGGAGCCGAATGCGTCCACTAAACAGGTGAGTTTGACGGTCTTAAGTATAACCAACAATAGTACTTAGGTGTTACCTGTGTTTCGTTACAATTGAAAGAGAGAAATGAGAAGACTGAATGAGAAATTAAAACATTTTTTGTTTTTCAAAATGTAGGAGCATGCCTAGAGTTTTGTTTCAGATGGTTTTGAAGATCAAATCATACAGGTGACGTCTCCCCGATCAAAGCTGCTGATCCTAAAAATTCAAACATTCAACCAATTGTTCATATAAATAGATTTTCCATTTCCCTACCAATTATTTCATCCAACAACTTATCAAATATAGGATCTTCCTCTGTTTTTGACATACTTAACTCCCCAGAAACTATGTTGCTTCTCAACTGTTTTATTTGTTGTTTGTGCTATCTTCTCGTGGAATTCTTTGTTTTCTAGTAAGGGTTGAGCTAAAACTTAGGTATTCACTAACTGAAAATAACATTTTTGGCGATCTTCGGGTAGTAGTAAAACTTACTTAACCTCAACTTACCCCTACATTCTTTAAAAAATCCTAGTAACATGTGAAGATCACTTTCTAGTAAACTCAAGACTTCTATAAACTTCGCGAAACATATTGAAAGATCTAGACGTAAACAAAACTGACAATACTAGTATACCTAGAGATTACATGACACGGGACACGCAAAAATACCAAAACTGACACCTAACTGTCTCTGACTTACCGCACTGTAGAGGGTGTCGCAATATTTTCGGTTATAGAAATATTGTCAGTACTTTTGGAAGTACTCTTTACATTCTATTACAGGTCACAAAGACTTTGTTCCCAAAGAAACCCAAAGAAGTATTAGTAGAACTGGGCAAAACGTGGGATGCCGACCTTAGAGCCCGTGCCGCGTCTGAAGAGGCTTCTAGCAGAACGCCGAAAAGGAAAAGGAAAAAGCCGCTGAGCGGCAAAAAGAGCAAAAAGGCTAAAACGAGTATTACCGATGAAGACGGTGTTGCACTGGAGGCTGCTTTGAAGACGCCCAAGAAGTCTAGTCAAGAGAAAAAGACGGAGAACGAACAGTCCAACATCAATACAGATAAGGTAAGTTGGTTCAAATGGACCTTGTCCAAATTCAAGATAGAGAAGATGTAGACAGTCATTAGACCAGGGGCTTGATTGTAAATGAGTTTCGACCGTTGAAATTGATTTGGGTGGCGCCTTGTGACGATACACTTGATTCGCTATGATAATTTTGACATCTGATTATATTGATCTTCTGTATTCAAATTATCATGAGAGTGTCAAAATTACCATAGCTAATCAAGTATATCGTCACAAGGCGCCATCGAAATCAATTTCAACTGTCGAAACTCATTTAGAATCAAGCCCCAGGACATTATAAAAATAATAATTTCTTTTATTGTTGAATAGGGCAGAAAAGTAGTGACGGATTTAAAATGAATAAACCATAAATCCAAAAAAAATCTCTCCTTTAAACTATAAAAACATTTATCTACCAAAAAATGTTGTTTTCTTCTGAAAACCGCTATATTGACTCATTCCTAAAGTCACCATTGAGTTTATTAAAAATCTTACATACATTCCATATATCTACATGTTTTTCTGGTATGTCGTAGTCGATGTCGCGGCGGAATTCAGCGCATCTTAGACCTAGTTGGATATTCATGATGACTTCAAATTCACGCTTATTTTTGATAGCAAACAATGCCAACTCATAAATATAAATACTTATAACAGTCATCATCTTTAGTGTTCTTAAATATTCTTTGCAGGATTGGCGCCAACCAAGGTTATCAATAATTCTAATGGCTTATTTTTGTAGCAGGAGGACCCGTTCAGTTAGCGAACCCCAATTAAGAATACCATAACGGATTTGACAATTGAAGGTGGCATAGTATAAAATTTTACTACGTTGCTAAGAATTTCAAGCCATAACCTACTCCTTCGCAATCTAGTGCACAAATACTCAACGTGAATGCTGGTCTTCTCTGTGTTTAGACAGAGGAAGTTCTTTTTAGACCATTTAATAATTCTGTTGTATGCTATTTCAGTCATTGCAGGCAGCTCAGTGATGTTCGGACTTTTTGGAGAAAAATTGTGCTGTTTTGCAATGGAACTCTCTTGGGCGTATATGAAGATAAAAAAGTCCTGCATGGAGAGCTACAAAAAATGTTGCTATGTTAAACGTCAAAGTTGGAGAAACATGTTTCCGTCGTATATGCAACTGTTATGAATTATTGGTGTAACTGGGCCAAAAAAAGGTGTAGGGGATGAAAATACCTTCAACCTTGTATACGTAATTTGCTGTAACGGTTAATTTGTTATTACAAAAAGTAAAAAATCCTCGGTATCTACACTGATATCTACCGGAAAAAGATTGACGGTAAATCTGAAATAATAGCGGAAAGTTAAAGCTTAACATCTGAATGCCATTCGATGAAGACAGTTCACCCGTTTTCATTCGACCAATCGGAAGTGGATAGCAGACCAATAGTGCCGCATTTTTCAATACCACTATTATATACAGGGTGACTTCGAAGTTGAGTCATTTATTTTAACAGTGAGTAGATCTGATCAAAAGAAATGTTTTTTTCCTTTACCATTTTCCTGGTAAAATTAAAGTAACAAAGTTATAGCCCTTTGGAAGTTTGAGTACCGCCCTGTCTCAATAACAATATTATGTGGTCGTGTTTGGCGACAATGGATATAATCCGCCGTATCGGTTCATCGCATCGGAAACAAAAAAGCGAAAGAATTTGGAACGATGTTTTTACAGGTATCTCATTCATTTGTATACAGTTAGTGTCAGTGGATAGTGGTATGTGTTGCGTGGCTCAAACGAAATTAAAAATGGCACATGTTTATGCGGATCGGTTTCCCAATCGAGTGCAACCAACCCCTCGTGCCTTTGTTAATGTAGTACAACGGGCTTGTGAATCAGGTGACTTAAGACCTCACAGGGGACCTCACGATCAAATACAGGTCCGCACTGAAATACTTGTCGGGAGGATACTTTATAAAACAAGGTAAAAATTTTTTTTATTTTTTTTTTATTTTTACACACATATTTTGGTTTATCTTCCTTCTACAATCATTATCTGAAAATTAATGACTCAACTTCAAAGTCACCCTGTATGTCGAGGGTGGTTAATGCAAATTTTATACAATTTTAAAGTAAAAGTGACTTACACACTGTTAGAACTTCTCTGATGAAATTTCTAAGTGCTCTTGCTAGACACTAGTTTGACATGGAATTAAAGGGGAGACCAGATACGTTTCTTACTACCAGATACGTTTCTTACTAACCATGTAAAAAAGCATCGCTAAAGGTGCATCTGTTTTGCTTTATAAACAATATATATTTAATAATTTCATAGAATAAATGAGTATTTATTTATTTAGTATACATTATTTGGCTTAAGTAAACAAAATATATCGATTTCAATTTTTAAAAGCGCAAGATGGATTTATGTCCAATGTCAAACAAATAATTTTAATATAAAACGGTGGAAACACTATCGGCCATGATGTGACGTCATAGAGATTGTAAACAACGAAACGTCATCTTTAAGTCTCTCGTGGACTAATGTTGTATTCTTTGGATGATTTCAAAAAAGTAGTAATCAACGTAAAACGTTTTCGTTTTCTCGTGTTATTAAAAAAAATTACCATGGACATTGGTACCTAAAACCAGATAACATCAAGACTTCTATGTAAATAAAAAGAAAGAATAAGTAATACACTTGCATAATCTTCCTTTCCAGAAGTCATTAAAAACTAAGCTCATGCGTCATAACCTATGAATAATTTTATCTAATATTTTATTTCTTGTTACTTGTCTGCAAGGGAATCGTTCGGTAATGATGCCGTAGGTTACGTCAAACCTAAACGAGATGATAAAATATGTACAGTAAAATGTAAAATAAGTCCCGAACATATGGTATGCTCCAAGCAATACACAGTGTTGTGTGTAATTATTTACCTGGTCACTCTAATCCACAGCTTTCCTGGGGTATTTATCGATGTGGTTTTACATTCTCGGACGATACAATAACGATAATTACTATATTTTTCATGGAAATTGAGCAATCTCCTACCCATCATATCCCACACTTGCTCAATTGGGGATAAGTCGGGAGATCTTGGTGGCCATGGTAACAATGTGACATCATTATGTTGAAAGAAGTCTATTGTGACTCTTGCAACATGTGGTCGGGCATTATCTTGTTGGAAAGTTGGATCTGCCAGGGTGTCAAGATAGGGTAAAAGATGGGGTTCTAGAACTTCGTGGATATAACGCTGCGCGTTCATGTTACCTCTGATGAAGATTAAAGGTGACCTGGGACCATAAGCTATAGCACCCCAAACCATAACTCCAACAGTGTGATGAACATGTCTTTCAACAAAAAACTGTGGATTCCTCCTTTCACCACGTCGCCTTTTAACCCTGGCACGACCATCGTGCATGCCTAAACAAAATCGAGACTCGTCACTAAAGACAATACTGTTCCATTCCTGATCCCAGAGTGATTGTTGTCTGCACCACTCAAGGCGATTACGTCGGTGTTCTCGAGTTAAAGGGAGGACCCAGTGTGGCCGGTATGAAAACAAGCCAAAACTTCTCATTCGTCGGTAAACACTTCGCATGCCAATAGGTCTTCAGGTTCTGCAGACCATTCATTTGCAATGGACCTGGTAGTGGAGAAACGGTCCCTTAAGGCCAATAATCTTAGGCGGCGATCTTCACGGTCTGTTGTTCTACGGCGGCGTCCAGTGCCCCTTGCTCCTTGCGTGCGGCCTTCTCGAAGCCATGCCTGACAACACCTAACCACTTCTTTGCACTCTAACTGCAATTGCCCGAAAAGAAAGTCCAGCTTCCCGAAGTCCCACTATATGGCCCCTATCAAACTCACTAAGTTGACGAAATCGTACAGGTCTCCTTACTCTAGGCATCGTAACCGATGGTAAAGAACCAAAATCCGCCAACGTTGATTCTTTACTGCGGCTGAAATATTCATTTTTAGAGCGTTAGTGAATTAAAAAAAGCAGTATAAAAACCGGAATGTCCAACTGATAAGGCTGAAAATTTTTTCATTTGTTATTTACAGTAAGATAAATACATTCACCAACTTTTATTAAAATAAAACCATTTAAACTGGGTGTTCGGATTTATATGTCACTTAGTATATGTTTAAAAGTTTGAGAGGTTATGCTACTGTCAGCTGCCATTTACAAATAGTATGACGACAGAGCACATTAATACGAGTATATGGGATAAACATGACGCGCATTTTCGTCTAAGAACAAAAGTTTTAAGGACTTTTAGGTCTTAAAAAACATAGTTTTAATTTGTTGGGCTAATAGAACAAATATTAACTATTTAAGGCCTACTTAAAAAAGTGTCAGCTAGAATATTAGACAGTTGTAATTAGGATTCCCACTAATGAACAGCTTATATCAAACATGTTAACGAAGAAAATGGACCTATGTGGACATTTGGGGGCCGAAAGAACAAAACAAAAAAAAATGGTGGTTCTAACTCATATGATATTCCGAGGACATTAGTTAATGAAAGTTCGTAATTACAAGTGCGCATTCCTGAATTTACTATAGGTGTGTCCTGAAAGCTCTGGTTTGCAAGAAAAGTATTAGAATGTCATTTTAATGAGTTCCCATTGATACTATAACTCTAGAAGATATGCTCACTTCACGACCGAATTTCATACGCCTTTGCTCATGACGCCACTCGGTGACAAATGTTCCTCCAGTCGGTACGAAATGCATATATTAAAGCGTTTTCTTTTCAATATTTGGTATTTTTTTGCGTTATCGATTTTACACGATAATTTTTGTATTATATAAAATGTTTTATTTACATTTTGATGTTTTGCCAACACAATTCAATGATATCATTATAGACAGAATACATTATCAAGTTACCACTTTTGAAAAATTAACAATAGACAAGTTTACAGGTTCTAAATTTAATCATTGAAAATGCAACTGAAGCTTTTCGAACAAAATTTTCTTCAGAGCCTCTAATAAGGATGCTTACTTTTTTATTGAAGTAAATCTTAAATAAATTTTGTCAATATTATGATCCTGCGTTGAAATTGTAAATATGGTCTAGTTCATTACATTTAATTGAAAATTATTAAATTTGAGTTGCCGATAACACTTCAGAACCCATTGTTTGCAAACTTGTTTGCAAAACTGAAGATACGCCAATTCGAAACGTCTTTGCTTTTCTTGTTGTATGGTATAGTTGAATGTTCAATTCACTGATTTTTAATTATATTTCACACAGGGACTTATTTGAAACACATCATATAACAAACTAACTAATCACAAATTACGTGCTAAAGCGCCATGTAAAACTGAAAGTTTGACGCCCGTCTCTGGGAATTTTGTCACCGAATGACGCCGCATGCGCGAAAGAGATAGACTGGTTTATCTTCTCGAGTAATAATATCATGATGTGTCCCATTCCTGTTTTCAGCAATCGACCACCATGGAACCAATTCCAGACTCTCAAATCGAAGCGCTATCAATCACCGAGATACATACTAAAACAATTCTCTCACCGTCGAAGATGAACGCTACAAAACGCAGTCTGGTCAACACTGATCCGAACGAGAGCTCCAGCAGATTCATAACGCCTGACAACGTGCAAGAAGCGGCAACAGCGCAGCCAATGAAGGCCAATAGGAACATTATTCCAATGCTGGAGACGCCGATGAAGGAGTATTTCCCTCCGAAAACGCCAGGAGTCCATACACCGATGGATTTAAATTTGAGTACTATGAGCAGCAATATTACGCCTTTTACTAAAATGCTCGAGGCAAATCTCAAAGGTAATCTTTGGTTTCTAGGCCCGATTTTACTATTGACCCACGGGAATCAAAAGGACGGTACCCAAACCTTACGGAAATCAGTCCTCGGTGAATCTTGCTCAAACTTTGGGAATAAGCACTCCAGAGCATCCTGGTCAAAAGTTTTCATAGGCTTTTAGCAAGGCTATGATGCATTTCCATGATATACTGGAAAAAAAATGTTATATTTTTAACAATCCATCAAAATGTATATTGAGGTTAGCTACATAACTCTTTTTTTTCTCTTCATAGGTTTGTATCAGATCAGTCAAACTGCAGGGTACGGCAGCACAGCTACCTTTTTTAAAATATGCGTCATTCGGTCGGTCGATGTCGTAGCTAGACGTGACTAATGTTTTGTCCCGGCACAGTTCAGTCGCCATCATGCCAACGCGCTTTTCATAATCGCTTTGACTTAGCCTTGTTGACCCTTGCTCTGGACCGGAAATCAATTGTTAGGTGGGTCACTACGCTCAAATTGCCCATTGACCCATTAAATCACCTGAAAACATTGAGGCAGTGAAAGCTTCAATGTTGCGATCTCTACGGCGTTCTGCCCTTGGACTTTGCGATCGTTCTGTGATGAGAATTCGTCGTGATCATATTCATTTCCATCCTCACAAGATGGAAATTGCTCAGGCACTTTCTGAAGGTGACTTCAATTCTCGGATGAACGCGTGTGAGCGTCTTCTCCAAGTCGTTCCCGAAGCCCATTTTCATGTGTGGATCCGTCAGCAAACAAAACATGTGCTACTGGGATGACACCAATCCTGGAGAATTGCATTAAAGGCCTTTGCATTCACCTAAAGTCACAGTGTGGTGTGCAATTTCCTTAGCTGGAATTATTGGACCCTGGTTCTTTGAGGAAAATGAAGTCGCAGCGACAGTGAATTCGGACCGGTATGTAAACATGTTACAGGGTTTTTATATACGGGTAGATGTCTTGGACTTAGATGACATTTTGTTCCAACAAGACGGTGCAACAGCACACACTCCAAGAGCATCGATGAATGTTGATAGGGAATACTTCCCAGAGTGCCTCATCTCAATTAGGGGCGATTTGGTTTAGCCGATCGGCTCTCCCGATTTGGCCCTTTTTGATTTTTTTATAAGGTTTTTTGAAATCCCGCCTTTTTTGTGAACCGTACAAGGACCACACAAGACTTGAAGACCAACATGCACGACGAAATTGTCAACATAACATCTGTTATGCTGGCAAGAGTCATAACAAACGACAGAAATCATTACATTATAAGAAACAAATAAACATGTTCTGATTCATACACTGGATTAAATTAAGTTTTGAAAAGGGAAGTTATGCTGCCCCACTCTATATTAGCCATTCTGATACATGTTTTATGTGCTATTAATGAGAGAGATACCTTATTGAAAAGTTTTAGTATCTACGTAAATTAAAGTATCATCAGCAAGAATTTGGATTTTGCAATTTTTAGGTATACTGAGCAAAGCATTTATATAAGACGAAAAGAAGTCTCCCAGGATACTACCCTTGAAGACTCCTAAATGATTTTCCATCTTTGATGATATAACGCTTATCTTAGATACTTGCATCTTGTTGATCAGATATTCTGAAAACCAGATACACCATGTTTCCAATTTACTTAACAGTATGGCCCTATCTATTGGATCTAATGCTAAACAAAATTTATAGATCTTGATTCTTGAGGTAAATTTGAACCTGGCCACATGCAAATTCCTTAAAAGGGGTCCTTTTTAAATAAAGTTATGCAGTCTCTGTGGTCCAATTTAAACAATGCAAACTTTTTCGTTTCAGGCCTGGATATCAACCAGATACCAACGCCGAACATTCCAATAACTCCAAACTTCCCGCCTTTTACGCCAAACATAGACTTGGTTTCGCCATACTCCAACAGACCGACAGACTACTCAGCCTCAAGTTCGTACTACCAACCATCTGACAACGAACAAAACAAATCCCTAGAAACGCAACTGCGCGAGCTTGAAAAGAAATCTGACGACAACGAAAGACTGAAGAGCTTCAAAAAGAACGTCATAGGCGGGAAGAACTTGAATTTGATGAAACGTACCGTACTGTCTAGTTCAAGTTCTGGGGATGATTCGGATTCTAGTAATAATGATGATTATAGGGAAAGCAATGATACGGTTATATTCAAGAAATCGAGGAGTCCGGTTCAAAGCAAGTACTCTTTGAGAACGAGGAATGTCGATAAGAGTAAGAGTGAGACGAAGAAAACGCCAAAGAAAGCTGTTAGAAGAAAGGCGAAGAACAAGGAAAAGGCTGATGGGAGTGTGAAAGATAATGATGTGAAGGAAAGTGAAGATGATAAAGTTGAGCCTGGTGCAGTTGACGTTGGGGAGGTTAGTTAACATGCATATTTTTAACAGTCATTTTATTATATTTGTAACGGAATCTTTCAACCTAATTTTCATCAATTTCAAGAAACATGATTAACTTGAATATTTGCACAAGGGTCAAAGATCAATGACAACACAATAATCTTGGAAAAAAATCGATGAATTTTGAAATTTGGAAAAAAATTGGACTTGGAAGATAATCGGAAAATTAGGAAATTTGGAAAATAATTTGAAGATTTGGAAATTTTGAAAAAATGTAAATTTCGAAATTTGAAAAAAAATTATTTTTTGAAATTTGGACAAATTTGGATTTTAAATTTGAGGGAAATAATTTAGGAATTAAAACAATTAATATGAAGTAGGAAGGTTACACAAACAGGAACAAAGTGAATTTAGATTTATTGTCAAATATAACTTATACCAATTATCGAAGCACTTGATTATAAGTATTTTTGTTGTCGTTTTGAGACTAAAAATTCAGAAAATAAGTTATAGATATAAAAAATTAAAAAACACTCTTTAATAACAACAAAAAAAATAGGGAATAAGTATAGGAGAGTTTGTGTTACTGCAATAGAAAGATCAACAATCGAGTAATTAATTTGGAATAAGATCAATACAAGATATTCAAAAAAATCATCGTAAAAAAGTGAAATTTTGAAAATCGATCTAGTGGCGACGGATCTATGATCGAAAAACGGAATAATAAAGATTGTTCAAACTTCGTTCTTTGAGATTTTTGGAGTAGGTAGTTGTAGGTACTGATTTGATCCACGTTTTTCTAAGAGGTGCTAACTTGTGCGATACACAATCAACAGTCCATGGAAGTGCAGAGTCAACCTATTTGACGCAATTTTTTAAGGATATGGTTTAAAGGGCTTTTAAATAAGGACGAGTCAAAGAAATTAATTTTTTACTTGAAAGATTCATGAGTGGAAATTCTGAAATATTTCCACGATGCAAATGCTATATTTATATACCCTTACTCATTTTGGTCGGTCCAGCGACTGAGCGCTTCCGTGCTAGACACCTCATGTCAAGTTTAATGCCCCATTCCAAAACTATAGTCTGTCTCGTTACCAAATTTCATGCATTTCATGCAGTGAGCGAGTAACAGACATTCACACTTTCTCATTTTTATTATTAGTAGGGATATTTTCTTGAAAACTTATTTGATCTTAAAATGATCAGGTCAGGTTTATTGGCAATAATATAATTGAAACTTTCAATTGTCTACAATTTGTATTTCAGAAATTGAAAATAGATGTTTCCCGTCATGGGCATACTTGAATATAAAGTTTCTTATTTTCTTTTATTTCTGATATCAAAAATATGGGTTTCTATTTAAGAAAACTGCCTTGACCTTCAAGTGATTTTGAGAGTCATAGGAAAGGTCACGTTCAAGTCACCATTGGGTGAATCTTTTCAAACCTTACTACTTGATTATACAATATTTTTGTTTATGGGACGTATTTTTCGAGATATTTTGTTCTTCCCTCACTTTTTGGATACCCTCAAATAGCCATGAAGATCATGGTCAAGGTCATGGTCCAAGACATGCTTTAACTTAAAATTTCCCGATCTTTACATTACCAGTGTCAAAAAATGGGTTTCATTTAAGAAAACTGTTTTGACCTTCAAATAACCTAGAAAGTCACGTTCAAGGTCACCATTAAATGAATCTTATCAAATCTTACAACTTTAAACTACAACATTTTCCTCTAGGAAACGTATTTTTCGAGATATTCTCATTTATTCGTACTTTTTGAATACCCTGTGTATTTTTGCGAATAAAACGATGCCTATAACCTTTCTCGGCTTTCAGTTAGTACGTGTACACATTTTTGCGTTTCTCCCTATTATGGTTCAGACGTTATGCTGGCAGACTGGACCAATATTCCAATTTTAAATTCATTAATTACAAAAATAACGTATAATATACATAAATATAAACAAGTAGACTACAAAACAATTTGGAATAACGCACACCTAACAAATGAAAACGTTTAAAAGACATAGTTAATATATACATCTAAGGAGTAAAAAGGGTTTTCTATAAATATTTGTCTTGCATGTCTCAGAAAGACTGTCAGATTTTCCGTCGCTTTTATATACAGTTATGGACAAAAGTATGGAAATATTTGTTTCTGGTTATACTCTTGATATTTGTTAATCAATAATTAATTACATAATAAAAAATAAACATCCACTACTAACTTAGTAACATTTTAAAAACAAATGAAAATACATAATAAAACCAAGTCTCATATATGATAAATAAAGAAAACGTTTGGACAAAAGTATATAAAGGATATTTAATTTTAATTAAACAAGCAAGTTTCAGTATTTTGTTCAAAATCCCTTCGCCTTAATGACTTCCATACATCTTCTTGGCATGGAATCAATAAGATTTCGACACACATCAAATGGAATCTTCCGCCATTCGGCTTGTAGAACTTCCCATAGATCATTCTCACTACGAATAATTCTTTGTCGAATTTTCCGCTCTAAGTACTCCCAAAGGTGCTCAATTAGATTGAGGTCGGGGGATTGCGAAGGCCATTCCAATAAATCAACAACTTTGCTCTAAAAACCAATTTTATACTAAATGGGATGAATGTTTCGGGTCGTTACCTTGTTATCTCCACTACAGCGGCATTTCTTATCCGGTATAAGTTAACATATTTTGAATATGTCGCGGTATATAAAGCGATCCATTTTCCCAGTTATTTTCAGTATTGGGCCCGTTCCAGATCTGGAAAAACACCCACAGATCATAACACTGCCACCACCATGCTTTACTGTAGGCTTTTGGTACTTGATATCAAATTTTCTCCCGACAGGTCTCTTTACAAACGTTCTTCCATCAGCAGAAAATATTGTAAATTTGCTTTCGTCACCGTTTTTACGTGTCCAATTTAAATGTCTCTGAGCAAACTGAAGTCTGACCTTTCGGTTCTTTTTAGACAGTAACAGCTTTCTGACAGCAACTCTTCCAAACAAACCAACTTCACATAGACGTCTTCTCACAGTACGGGCCGTTATGTCCGTGTTGAAATATTGACAAATGTCTTCGAGCTGGAAAAATGTTTGAAATAAAAATCTTTCCATACTTTTGTCGATGACTATGCATAGGCAGCGCGTTATACAATTTTTTAAGCATAACGTTTGGTTGCTTTGACGTGAGGGCAAGCCTATGCATTGGGATCTGCAAATTTATGTTTTGACGCAAATTGTACATGATATCTATACTGTTCGAATTTGTTAATATTTTTCTTAACTTAAACAACACAATTGTAAATTTAAAGGAAAAAAATACATAGTACCATTGTCCATGAATATTTCTTATTTTTTGCCAGACATTGTCCTTAAGATTCTTTTTTGGATTAAAAACAGAAGTATTTTAATATTTAACGAAGTTTAATCTTAGTACAGTTTCCCCAACAGATGATGCAGTAATTGGGTACAGAATGCACATAGGCAAAATAATATATTAACAAAACGTATGCGCTGGCATATATGTTAGTTTTCAACTGCGATAATTTACTACAATGTGTCATAAGTTTACGGGAAATAATATCTATATGACTTGACCATCCAGCAGTTTCATTAAAATGAACATCCAAGTATTTAATATGCTTGCTTTGATTAACGCTGGAGTTCCAAGATTCAATAAGTAAGCGAAAGTCCAGCTTAACAGTATTATTGTACATGACCAACTCAGTTTTATTGTTGTTTAAGACCAGACCATTAATATCACAGTAATTTTTCATTTAATCACAAGATCTGCAGCCATACTCTGTAACTTAAGCATTATATTTAGCTTTTACAAGAAAAGAAATCGGGAAATGAAGATATTTCAAATTTAACAGAAAGTAGATAATGTTCATACAATTTAGTTCACTCGACAGAACAGCTGTATCATAGCCTGACGCCATATTCACTGAAATATATGCTATACATCTAAAATCATTTGTTTTCGAAAAAATACACGCTGTTGGGTGATTATCAAATACACAAGTATACGTATATTCTTCTACAGTCGACTGCCGACGCTTGAACGAATAAGTCTTTGTGCTGAGAAAATCGATTTTCCTCTGATGTTCGCTTTGCCTGGGTTTTCTGTATATACCACCAATGCCCTCAATTCAGGTCGTTGCTTAAAATCATCTGTATGTATGGTCCAGACTCATTAAAAAATGAACAATTGATAATCCCCCATGTTTGTCTGGCAAATCACATGTGTTTAAAATTCTTCTTTATTATATACTTTTCCAATAGTGACCTTCTTCAGTACAGTTAACACTTTATGACAATCTATCAAAAAATGGAAAAATATATTCTGTTTTGAGATATCATATTATTAAAACGACCATATTTTTGCCACAGGTGAAAATCACTAAAGAAACAGCGTCTATCGAAACAACCCAAACCAGAGAACTTACAATATCTTGCAAGTTAGAAACGATACGTATCGATATAGAAACTCTACCTTCTCCAACCAAACCTAAGAAGAGCAAGACTCCTAAAAAAAACAGCACCAAAGACGACCAATCTAAGTCGACCTTAACCGCCAGTCAACTTAGTTTAAGAAAAGAGCTTGAAGAGAAGAAGAAAAGGATGCTAAGTAATATTAGGGGTGATTCGAAGGAACAAAAGCCAGGCAAAAAACAGAATAGTGGTTTCAAAATCAAGCCGATAGCCAACCTGACAAACAGCAAAAGGAAACCTAGGAAGGCTGCGACGCCTAAGAAAACTGTCCAGACTGATAAGGAGGATCTAAGGCTTGTTATGGAGGATCTGGAACATTCTGATGATTCGGATGATGAAGTACCTTTGGCGTTTAAAAAAGTTAGTTCATATTATTTCTATTTTCGCCTATTTTTGATTTAAGCAAGTTAAATGAAGTGTGAAGTGTTTTGGGGATGAATTTGAGCTATACATTGGGTCGCTTGGGGTTTGACGTATGATTTGGAATACACAAATTCAATTTACTCACGATATGACTCTCCCAGTGTCTCAGTATCTGCCCAGGAAATATTTTGATTCTTCCCACGCCTACTGGCGAGGAAGTATGGTAATCGCGAATATTTTAGAAAATGAGATATTATGTTTTTGGATGTTATATGACATGTAAGAAAAACCATGTCGCTCATTTCTGTCGATCTGTCCTCAAATGATTGACCCATTCATAACTTGAAAAGTACTGCCGGATTTAGATGAAATTTTCACACAAGATTACTACTTTGCCTAGGACGAAAAGCTTTGTAGATTTTGAAAATCGGTCCAGAGGCGGCGAAGCTACAGGCAAAAAACGAAGAAAATAAAAATCGCTCACACTTCAAAATTTTTGTATGGGTTAAACATTGGGGGTTGGGACTGTAGGGGGGTGAGGAAAAGTATATCTCTATTTTTTTGTGATATAGTCATCCGCTGCCAACCACGCTAATTCTGAGAATTTATTACTAGATATATCAGATTACATCATAGATTCCCCCGTACAACTTGTAAAAATATGCGCTACTAACTCCGGTGCCCACAAAATCCTTTCTGCGACTGCCGGCTAATCGTTCACTGCGACACTGCTGGTGTTGACGTTTCCAGATGATCGATACTTTTAGTAAGGACAGGGAATAAGCTTCTATATCGCAATGTTAGCAAATTGGTGGACCTGTTTAGCTCACTTGATCCAATTATTTTTTTTTATGTTATGTAGTCAACTTTTTTATTATAATAATAATTCTTTATGAACTGTTTGCGTGGGAAGTGCAAAGTCAACTTGCTTTACGCCCTATTTTTCATAATCTTATTCAAAAAGGGAACCTTTTAACGAATCTTCGTGTTGTCAGGCCCAAAATTGCGCCAAGAACTGTTAAAATTTTTTACGCAAACATTTTTTTCGCTTTGGACAAAGATGTTTTAACGTTTTTTGGGACATTCTGAACAAAAAGGTTCTTATGTAATTTGCTTTACTTTCTATTGGGGATGCAAACATTGATAGTTTGAGATGTTTAAAATCTGTCGATTTATGCCTCCTTCCGAAATGTTTTCTAGCTATTGGAAACAACTCCGATAGATTTATTTGATCGGTATAAATATATAAAAGCAGTGTACATTGGAAAAATCTGATAAACAACCCCTAAAGCATGAAACCACAAGCAGGCTATCCCATCTGATCTGTGTACCTCTAGTTGAGCCTGCTTGTGGTTTTCTGCTAGAGCAATTTATCATATTTCTCTACGTCACTTTTATGAATGTATTCCGATGTCTAATGGAGTTCCTGCCTATAGCCAGACAAAAGGTTCGTCAATGAGGCGAAAATCCACAGATTTATAACATATCAAATAATTAATACTTTTTAGGTACATATTTAAAAAAGATATTTTTGTAGTTGGTAGTGTGAGAGTGGTGCAATCTTTAGTTATTTTTTTTCATAAATGTACATCTTTGAAAAACGTGAGGACGCATTTTCCGCGTACTTGTTAGCCCCTCTCTGGGGTAGTTCTGTATATATCGGATATTTTTTGCATTCAACGATTTCAGAAAATATTATCTCAGAAATATTTCTCATTTATAATATATATATATATATATATTCAGGGTGACTTTGAGGTTGAGTCATTAATTTTAACAGTGAGTAGATCTGATCAAAAGAAATGTTTTTTCCTTTACCATTTTTCTGGTAAAATTAAAGTAACAAAGTTATAGCCCTTTGGAAGTTTGAGTACCGCCCTGTCTCAATAATAATATTATGTGCTCGTGTTTGGCAACAACGGATATAATCCGCCTTATCGGTTCATCGCATCGGAAACAAAAAAGTGAAAGAATTTGGAACGATGTTTTTACAATTATTTTATTCAGTTGTATACAGTCAGTGTCAGTCGGTAACGCGTGAGTGAATAGTGGTGTCTGTTGCGTGGCTCAAACGAAATAAAAAATGGCACATGTTTATGCGGATCGGTTTCCCAATCGAGTGCAACCAACCCCTCGTGCCTTTGTTAATGTAGTACAACGGGCTCGTGAATCAGGTGACTTAAGACCTCACAGGGGACGGCATGCCGGTGCTCCAAGACCGCACGATCAAATACAGGTCCGCATTGAAATACTTGTCGGGAGGATACTTTATAAAACAAGGTAAAAATTTTTTTAATTTTTTTTTTCAGTCACCTTATATATATATACAGGGCTTTGAAGTTGAGTCATTAATTTTCAGATAATGATTGTAGAAGGAAGATAAACCAAAATATGTGTGTAAAAATAAAAAGAAAAAAAAATGTTACCTTGTTTTATAAAGTATCCTCCCGACAAGTATTTCAGTGCGGACCTGTATTTGATCGTGCGGTCTTGGAGCACCGGCATGCCCTCCCCTGTGAGGTCTTAAGTCACCTGATTCACGAGCCTTTTGTACTACATTAACAAAGGCACGAGGGGTTGGTTGCACTCGATTGGGAAACCGATCCGCATAAATCCGTGATGCCGCGTAAATAAGAATCATGTCCACAAGTTCAGCATTTTCGTAAACATGTGCCATTTTTGATTTCGTTTGAGCCATGCAACAGACACCACTATTCACTCACGCGTTACCGACTGACACTGACTGTATACAACTGAATAAAATAATTGTAAAAACATCGTTCCAAATTCTTTCGCTTTTTTGTTTCCGATGCGATGAACCGATAAGGCGGATTATATCCGTTGTTGCCAAACACGAGCACATAATATTATTATTGAGACAGGGCGGTACTCAAACTTCCAAAGGGCTATAACTTTGTTACTTTAATTTTACCAGAAAAATGGTAAAGGGAAAAAACATTTCTTTTGATCAGATCTACTCACTGTTAAAATAAATGACTCAACTTCGAAGTCACCCTGTATATATATAATTAAAGGATAAAGGAAAGGATAAAAGATATTCAATAGGGTGTGATTAGTGTACTTTAGGGAAGGCATACTAGATTTCGTTGTACTTTTGGGTTTCCATAAGTATTTTTGACGACTTCTGATCATAAAAAACTAGTTTTCTCATATTTCTATTATTTTTTATTTAGAGCCCATACACTGCCTGAACAGATTACTCCAGTTAACAGGCAGTAAAAAAAATCATAAAAAAACTGAAGACGTTACTTGATAAGAAACAGACAAAAGTATAACTCATCCAACACTTAAGAAACACCTTCTAAGATTGTTTCTGGTGGAACTGAAACCATCAAGGTCACTTACACCCTAACAAACATTACACATACCATATAGCGCCGAAAATAATAATAAACGTATTATTATTATTTTCGCGGAACAGGTAAATAAAATGAAATGTTGGTTGGTACCATGACGAATACGTAAATCGGGAACGAACAAATTACATAAACATTTAGCAGCTAATAGATTTCTCCCTCTAAGTAAGCTAGACAGATTGTACCTACTTAGACGTAACCCTTCAGGGTACACTCGATCATCATAGGTACTTCACAAAACGTCGTTGAATTCTCTCAATGTTATTACAATATATACAGCCTTGGCCAAAAGTATTGAGCACCCTCGATATCTTTCAATTTTAGGGGACTATTATATTGGAATAAATTGACAGAATTTTTTATAGTCATAAATGTCTTATTATGAGAAGAAAATCAATATTTTGTGGGACCTCCTTTCACCTTAAGTACAGCAGAAATTCTTCTAGGTAATGATCGTGCAAGTTTATTACATTCTTCGTAAGTTAAAGCGTTCCATTCTTCACGTAGGCGGCGCTTTAACTCTTCTTCTGTGTTGATTGTGTGACGCCTGATCATGCGTTTTAATAAGTTACACAAATGTTCAATCGGACTCAGGTCTTGTGACTGGGCAGGCCAACCCAGAAGCTCGATACAGTTTTCTCTGAACCAAGCCTTTTTGTCCGTGCAGCTTTGTGGCAAGGCGCATTATCTTGCTGGAATTTGACACCATTCATGTTGGTATCACCATAAAGTGCGGTAAACGACGGCAAAAGAGCACATGCAAGTACGTTTATGTACTTTGTGGAATCCATGCGACCCTCACACACGGACATTTTTCCGACTCATGCAGCCCCAGACCATTACGCTGCCTCCACCATGTTTCAAAGTAGGCACCACACACTCCTGATTGAATTCTTCTCCTACTCGACGACGAACAAATGTCACACTAGGTGTAGCAAAAATCTGAAAAATTAAGAAATATTAAGTAGTTGGTTAGTTGAATAATTTATTGATACAATTTGTTTCAAAAATTATTGTTACATCTCGTTACTGCATCAAATCAACTAACGTACCTCAAAGTTTGATTCGTCTGACCATACAATATTTGACCAATCCTCTCCAGTGAAGTTTTTGTATTTTAAAGCCCAATCATACCGAGCCTTCTTGTTTTTGTCTGAGAGCCATGGCTTCTTTCCGGCTTTGCGGCCATTTAGACCAGCTTCTTGAAGCTTTCTGCGAGTAGTTCGGATAGAAATTGGTCTATTAGTCTGCGCTGATAGCTCGGCAGCGAGGACAATAGAAGTTTTTTCCTCTTTTTCAAAGACTCTCTGGTCAATACTCTGTCTTCACGATCTGTGGCGATGCGTTTGCGGCCTCTTCTAGGTCTATCGTTAAGTGAACCGGTCCGAGCGAATCGCTGAATAGTGTATTGTACACATCGATGCGAACACTTCACTGTTTTCGCAATGTCTACTTGGGACTTCCCTTGTTCATGAAGAACCTGTATTTTCACACGTTTTTCAATGCTCACTTCATTCTTGTTTGCCATATTGCGAGAGTATTAGTTAAATTCTCGAAATAAAATTATCAAAGTCTCACTAAATCACTGAATTGATCACAACGAACGATAGAAGCGAAATGATACATTCGCACTGAAAAGGTAAAACTGAGTAATCTCTAAAAAACTAGACGTCTTAGCGATAGTAAGCAGATATGGTATTGTTTACAAACCGGTCTGGATACCTACAAATATTTTTGTAACCTTCAGTTTTTCTTTTCATCTATCACTATAGCGTCCTTACAATATTTTTAGGGTGCTCAATACTTCTGGCCAAGGCTGTATGTCATAGGCCGGGTACCAGATAATAGAAAAATATTCTCAAATAGATCTCACAAAAGCATTAAATAGTAAAATTAATGTATTAGTGTTATTGAAGTGTCTAGTGTTTCTGATAACAAATCCAAGATTTTTATATGGTTTAGCTATTATTGAATAATAGGCCCAAATCCTTGAAATTATCAACCTGCTGAAGAACACTGCTACCGATTTCAAAAGTGAAACATGTCGGTTCAACTCTACGTGTAAACGTCATAGTAGAACATTCATTGACATTCAAATGCATGTCATTATCCTTACACCAGTGATTTATGATATTTATATCAGTCTGTATTTTTAAACTACATATTATATTATTCTGCTTGGGGTAGTTCTGTGAATATACAGTATTTTCCAATTTCAGTGACTTTGGTTAATGTTGGTTATTCTAGAATTACATATTACTAGCCCTAAGTAGTGTAAAGTATAGGTCGTTCATTTTGTATTAGAGTGAAGGAGATTGATGGACATTTGCTATTCAACATGTTAATGCAACACGTTAATTTTAAATGTGCAAACAGATTTTCAAAAAAATACGTGGGGTATCTCACAACCTGTGTGGCATATCTTGACATACCCAACCCAATAACTATTTATTTACATTCACAGTATTATACTTGAAGTGAAACACCAAACAATTCTATATGTAAATCAAGATCGTCATGCTAATAAAACAAATGTCGAAATGCAGTAACAGCAGGATGCAAATGTCCTATTCATATACCTGTATTCATAGATGGCGCTGATAGATGTCCATATATAGTTGGCGCCATCTAAGAGACACGGACCAGCTACTGAGCGCTTCCGCGTCAGACACCTCATGTCAAATTTTATTAAGCCGTTTGGGCTGTAGTCAGTGGAATTGATATTAAGAAGAAATGAAATAGGTATTTTCCGGGATAAAAAGTAGCCTATGTGCTATTCCAGACTTTAATCTTATCTCTTTACCAAATTTCATTCAGATCCGTTCAGCTATTCTGGCGTGATTCAGTAACAAACATCTTCTCATTTATAATATTAGTAGGGATTCATTTTCAATTTGTCAGAATTTCTATACAGAATTAATTATTTTAAGAGTAGGAGGATATTAGTGTACTCTAGGGATGGCAGAATATATTTCCAGGCAGTTTTCGGGTTTCCAATAAGTATTTTTTACTACTTCTACTACTACACCTATTTTTAAAATTGTCCCTTCTATTTTCTTCTTCCATTCTTATAAGCGAACCAAACTCTGTACACTCCAATTAGGTAAATTGGAGAGCCTATCATCGTCAAAAAATCGAAGATAACGTTACAGAACTTCGTAGGTCATTTTCTTCTTCGTCTACTTTAGTTATAGGCAAATGAAACTTGAATTATTTGCCAAAATTCTCCTCGTGCTATTCAGTAACTGTTATTAACGCATTTTACCTGAAGATAGCAAAACTAATGATTTTCCCTTGAGTCCGAAAAATTTCACAGGTCCTCAGGACAAAAAAAGCTGTGTGTGCTTGGGGTCCGACTATGTTTTCCCATGTACTTTTTCGTGCTGAATACAAATCTGAAGTCAAGAGGGAGTCGGTGGACAAATTTCAGAGAAAAAAAATAAAAACTGGTGTGCTGGAGGGTATCAATATATTTTTTCAAGTATACTTCCACTCTGAACACGTATCTGAAGTGAAAATTGGGGGACGATGAACAAATATGAAAGTAATTTCGACATCACAATTCAACATTTCGGTAATTATTGTTGGAAGTGTATTTCTAAGAGACCTCCAAAGAGATGCAGATCCACCAAAAATGCCAATATGTGTGATTTTAATGCCTAAATAACTTAATTTGTCCACCGACCTCTAATTTTGTGTTCAGCATGAGAAAAAACATAGTCGGTCCCTAAGCACACACTACATTTTTTATTTTGTGGGCGTGCTATCCGAGATGTTCCTCCTCTACACACTAATAATAAGTTTAGTTCTCCTAGATGGCGCTACGGAATCTCTTTCCATCTCAGATAATTTTTCGGACGTGCCAATATAGTATTAAATATTTCACAGGCAAATCTGCTGGCCCCAGAAGTGATATCTTCCGACGTTGAAGCCCAAACCCTAATCGAGGGTCTCAAAGAACGAGGAATACATCTCATGCACAACAAATCACCCAAGAAAAAAGGCCAGGAAGATGCAGATGATGAAAACGAAGACCAAGGTACTGAAAAAGTTGAAGACAACACTGTTAATGATACAAAAGAAGGAAGTGCGGCCAAACGGAATTCGTCCATCATTGAGTTTGACAGTTATCGAGATGAAGAGTTTAGCGTTCAAGTGTTTGAGGATTTTACTAAAACTGTCGTTTATGACGAGAATGATTGCAGCAGAAAGCCTTTGCAAGTTGAAGCGATTACTGAGTTGAAGACGAAAAAACGATCTGCTGAGGTTTTCGTCGAAGAGATCAATGATTTCGTGAGGTAAGCACTAATGTCATAATTGTCATAGCAGGTAAGCAATACTGGGTTTCAAGTTTTGTGAACCTAATCTCCAGGAAGATGTCCACTGCAATGTGATGTTGCTAAGTATATGAGAAGCCATGTTTCTTTTTAACGAAGTCATTTATTATTGTGAAAGAGAAATTGAAAAGTTACTGTGAAGGTAAATCAACCCTATCTGTAGCACAATTTGGATTTCGACAAAATCCAACCACAATAAAAACTCAACTCGCGTTATTAGACGAAATACTGGATAATAACTATAGCTACCATGTGTGATTTGATGAAAGAATTTGATTGCGACAATTCACATATACTATTGAAAAAACTAGAATACTATGGCATAATAAATACCGAGATAGCATTGTTTCGTTCGTATCTGTCAACTAGCAAGCAGTATAAGTGCAGCACCTCTGACTTTTTGCCTATTTTCAACGGGGTACCACAGGGGTCAGTGCTTGGGCCCCTGTTGTTTCTAGTATATATCAATGGTCTACCCTCGAGTATTTGATACCACCTTGCTGTCTAGACCTGACCAAAACACGGGTGTAGATAGTCTTTAACAAGCCAAAAGATGGTTTTTAGCCAAGAGGTTATCGCTAAATGAAAACAAGTCATATCTTATTACAATTTCCTCTGACAGGTGGGGTGTGAAATCGAAACCAGTAAAACTTCTAGGAATAGCACTCGATACCAGGCTAAACTGGACATCCCACATTGATTATTTACTTTCTAGACTGTCTACACAATTATTTTTTCAGCTTAAAAGATGCCTTCATAGCCGTACTTATTTGCGGGTAGTGTCTACTTCAGCATGTTCCATAGTTGCATTACATTTCGCAAAAAGTTATGGAAAAACTCGGTAGTGTCTTCAAAGTTTGTATTTTACAAAAACGGCTTTGAGGATAATTACAAATTCCACTTATGGATTAATGTGCAGAAATCACTTCAAGAATCTACAAATATTACCACTTCCATCAGTTTATTTGAAGACCTACGTTATGTACAGGGTGGCCAACTAAGAATGTGAGGTACTGTATCTGGGAACCTATCCATCGTATAGGCTTGCGGCCAAAAAAAGTTCCTACTAAAACGGCCAAGAGAAAAACCTGTAAAACATTTTCAAGTTTCTGAAATGGCCGCTAGGGGCGTAACTGCAGTCTTGAATCTAAAAAAGTAATGTTTCTGTGAATTCTCCTATATTAACCTAACAAAAAATTATCTGATCTTTAAATTCGATGATAACTCTGAACCTTTTTTATTTGACAATTTTTGCTGTTTCTCTAGAGTGTTGGGGGTATTCAAATATTTGCGTAAAAAACGCCCTGTGCTAGGCCGATTTTAACAAACTTGCGCTAGTTGAAAAGAGCTATTCTTGGGTTACAAATGTTATAAAATTTGAAGTTTTGTAAGTTTCGCATGTGACCGCTAGATTTTTTTCGACATTCCGACAGAAATGGTTAATTTTCTCGAAAAAAAATATCATTGGTATGATTTTATGAAAAAGTAGCTAGATGATGTTGAAAAAAACTTGCGAAAACTGCATCTTGATATCTTGTTCCTAATATAAAATTTGAGAAAAAGAAAATTTTATACGGAAATTCCTTAAATTTTTATTTCTTTATACTAATTTTTTTGGACTATCTTTTTTTCATTATCAAGTTGTGGCCCTAAAAAGGACCGATTTAAAAAGAAAAGTTTTTAATGCCCCGTACATGCTCGATATGCTGACCATCATGCATGCTCTATGCATTCCTGTAGCCTCTCATGGCTAGACAAAACTGCAGCTTCAATTTCGGCTCTCGGTATGTTTCGTATTGCATTACGAATCAGGTAATTGATTGTCCAAAAAGTCTAGAAAGACATTGCTCGAAAAAATATAGCTCAATAATTCTGCCTTCCAGTGTGCCACACCACACATTTAAACTCCAACGCGGTTGGTGCTGAACTTCACGCAACCATTGTGAATAATGCATATTGTTCAGATTGACTCTCCCGTTACTATTAAAGGTGGCTTCATCGGTCCAAAGAATTTGAAATAAGAATTCTCTATTTTCGCATATCATGAATAACATCCAATGACAATAGTCCAACCTCTGATCAAAGTCTTCCTCTTTCAAGGCCGGATGCAAAACGACATGATATGGGTGCATTCTAAATATAATTAAAAAATTTAACTAAACCCCTAAAATTTGATGGCCATTAGAACTTACCTATGGTCCTTCAAAATATTTTGAACCGTTGTTCATGATATGTCCAACTCAAGGGATAATGCCCTTGAGTAACAGTACTCAGTTAATATTTTCTTGTGTTCTTCCAATTCTTTGCCGTTGAAACCAAGTCGAAAACCACCTTTGGCTCGTAAGCTTGCCACTAATCGGGGAAAAACTCTCACATTGCAAAGACGCCGATTTGGATATAGAGTCGCGTAAACTCTTTTTGCTACTGCGGAATTCCGAAGACATTCAAAATAAACGCAAGCATATCAACAGCTTCATCGTTCGTGAAATGCATTTGGTAGTGACGCGAAACTATTGATAACTTTTGGCAATTTGAGGATTACTTATGTTTTGATTACGTATTTGTCGTGTTGTATTCTTTGGCTTGCTTCTATTAATTGTCTTTTTCGCATATACCCACAGTGAATATGCATTTAAACAAAAATGTGCATTTTATTATTAGCATTACTTACTTACCTTTTAGCGATATTTTGTAATATTTTCAAAAAAATTGATTTTAGTCTGATGAATAAAAAAGAATTCCAGAAAAATTAGTTTAAAAAAATTAAAATTTAGTTGATTTCCACATTAAATTTTCTTTGGGCTAAATTTTATGTTAGGAACAAGATATCGAAATGTGGTTACCGCGAGCTTTTTTTTTGACATCATTTAGCTACTTTTTCATAAAATACCAATGCATTTACTTTTTTAAGGAAATTAACCATTTCTGTCGGAATGTCGAAAAAAGCCCTCTAGCGGCCACATGTGAAACTAACAAAACTTCAAATATTATAACATTTGTAGCCCAAGAAAACCTCTTTTCAATTAGCCCAAGTTTGTTAAAATCGGCTTAGCCGTTTCGATGATAGGTGTTTTTTACGGAAACCTTTGAATACTCCACCATTTTATTGTTAGAGATACAGCAAAAATTGCCAAACAAAAAAAATCGCATTATCCTCGACTTTAAATATCAGGTATTTTTTTGTTAATATAGCGGAATTCAAAGAAACATCACTTTTTTAAATTCAAGATTGCAGTTACGCCCCCTAGCGGCCATGTCAGAAACTTGAAGATATTTTCCAGGTTTTTCTCTTGGCCGTTTTAGTAAGAACTTTTTTGCCGCAAACCTCTACGATGGATAGGTTCTCAGATACAGTACCTCGCATTCTTAGTTGGCTACCCTGTCCACAGAAATCTAAACAAATATGAAACCCGTCACTCGGATAGATACTAAATTAGTTTGTAAGACCTCACATATACAGTGTATATACATAATATGTACATTAATCTTTCAATGAAAGATCATCTCTCATCCTCTCTCGTTAGTATGCCTAAAGTTTCGTATTTTCAAAAAAAAAAGAAACGACGCTGGCCGTATGGTCGACAGCTACCATCGGCCCAAAGTAAAAGTATCCAGTCTAGTACACATGCAGGCATGGTTTTCATTCAACGAATTCGGACTAGGTAGAAGGAGCAAGTACACGATTTGTTTATAACCAAAATTACATAGTAGTCGGGATGCAAGTCCATACCTCAGTCGATCAGACTTTAGCCGCCAGTTTGAGAGTTGTTGACACTTCTTATAAAGGTGCGTAGGATCGAATATTTGGCAGTTAATATAATGTAAGTTCTTTTGTGTCTGGGCCATAGAAAAATCATAGGGGCACATATAAGCTGTTTGTTCAGGGGTGCGTTTGTAATTCACTTGGTAATGTAATAGCATACATAGTAATGGAAGGTAGATTGACAGATAAAATTTTACTCTGGAATACTGAGAAACCTTATTTTTAGAACGCCTAAATTATTAGTCATGTAATGACGCTTGATGACAGCCGACTAATTTCTAACAACGTTTTTTGCGACCATTGTAATAACTATAAGAGACCATAGGGATACGGGGTAGCATTTATCATGAAAAATATATATTCTGTCAATTTTGAGCAGTTTTTGATAACCAATCAAAATAAACAATGAACCATGAGAATGACAAGTGACAGAACCCTTATTCCCAAGGTTTTGAGCTCGGAAAGAAAAGCACACTTTTGACGTTTCAAAAGAATTACTTTGTACTATTTCCGATCGCAAGTAACATGTACAGTAATGGACAAAAGTATATAGACAAATATGAATATTTACCTAAATACCTTTAGAAAACGAATTCATACTTCATTGCTCCATAAACAAATGCGTTATTAGTAGAAAAACTAAATTCCTTGTTTTGACATTATCTGCAATGAACACAATACGAGTCTGAATATAAGCACTTTTTTATGAGGGACAAAAATATGTAGACAAATTCTTTTCAACATTAGTTTAGTACAGTTTCGTGTCAGAAGAGGATTAGTTTGTGTGCATCAAGTATTGTGGAATAAGTTGACTGATTTTAAGACCATGCCGCGTGGTCCAGAAATTTCTTTCGATTTGAAAACTAAGATCATTGAGTTATACAAAGATGGTCAACGTCAAGTCGACATTGCCAAAAATTTGAAGCTGAAGCGTAAAGCAGTTTAGGCAATATTGAACAAATATAAACGAAAAGGTATCTTGGAAGCCTCTAAGAGAAGTGGTCGGCCTAGAAAACTAATTGCTAGATCAGTTAGATTAATAAAAGTAATTTCGTCCAAAGATCCGTTTAAAACCCCAAGATAAATAAAAGCCGAAATCGAGACAAAAGGAATTGTCAGTGTTTCTACGAAAACTATAAGTAGAAGATTAAATGATTTGAAGTTATTTGCACGTCGCCCGAGTAAGAAGCCGCTAGTC